GGCCTAACAGTATATGAGCGATATCGAATGATAAATATCTGGTATATAATAACCTCAGCTTCATAATCTGCTCATATTATGATAAAGTTGGTGGTGGATGTGACCGCCATGGCTTTCACAATAATTAATAAGTGTTACACATCAAGAAAAAATTGGCTGAAGCGGTAATGTCAATGTGATGTCGTGCCGGGCTACTTTGACGTCTGTTGTAACATATACAATGACTAAAATTTAAATTCTTCAACATTTCATGGCTTCGATGGGTTTATTCTATTTTTAGAGGACCTAAAATGATATGCTATCTGTAATATATTTTGAGTAGTGCCCCAAGGGAGAAAGAACTTACAAGAAAAACAGAAATTGATGATATTTTTGTACACGGCAAACAAGTTATCCACGTCCTACCTCACAATTCACTGCCCAAACTACCAATTTGAGATTCGCATAGACTTAGTGATCTCATATTTCAAACACTCACAACTTCTTATTATTGGTCCGATTCATTTTAAACTTTTGCCATTCTGTTTCTCTTATTTTCTGCTTTCATTCAAAACAACTTGTTACAAGGGTTGGATTGCTCTTTGTGTCTTTAAGCTGTCTTTTGATGTATGCAAACAAAAACGAACTTTACTCGCTCTTGAAGATTAAACTGTGATTCTGCATGAATATCACGGATTAAAATGTATACTTTCCTTCAAAGCAAATCACATTAGCTGCACAATAAAACTGACGATATCAAGACATAACTTACAATTCGTCAATACTTCTGGGACTTACAGTTAACTATGAAGTGTATCTCCTGAAAGGAAGATGAAATATAAGAAAATGATTTACCTGACTTTACTGCTGAAGATATTGGTAGTAGGAGTGGTTACGGGCCAGAAAAATATCATCAACTTGAACAATGGCGCCTATTCGAATCTACTCATCGCAATCGACAAGAACGTGCCTGAGGATCTGACCATCATCGAAAATCTCAAAGTAAGAAAGCTTTTAATAGTCTGAGTTTATTTTCGTCTCATTAATTGTTTTTCTATACATCATCGTATACGAATCGAAAATTGTATCATTATCACTATCATCATCACTATAACTATTACTACAATAAAAACTGCTACTGCTACGACTACAACAACAACAACTACTACTACTACTAATATTACTGATGCTGCCGTTACTTTTACTTCTTATTCTTGCACTACTACTACTAATACTTCTTCTTCCACTCCTATACAGTTCATACTATTCTACTTCTACTAGTATTACCACTACTACCGTGTGAGTCAAAATAAGTTTACACCTAGAAAATTGCTAATTATTTTTAAAATTATCTATGAACAGTAAATCATTTTACATCTTATGAAAGAATGTTTTATTCCAAATCATTTGGTATCATTTTTGTGTGGTTTGTGTTCACGCTTGGATAAACAGGAGGCATTGTTTGCGAGAGTGCAAATATCAAATTGCGCCAAAGTGATGCCTACAGCATGTATTATGTTGGGATTAGCGGAGTGAGAGAACGAATTGAAAATATCAAATGAAATGCATTGCATATGATTTTTGCAGAAGCAAAGTCACACACACACTCACACACGCGCACAATTGTTCGTTGATATTTGATATTCTATATTTGATATGTGTGGCATGATTAATTTTGTTAGGGATGTTATTTGGATCTGCAAAAACCGAATTAATACCCAAATCCCAATTGTTTTATTCAAACATCACATAAGCAACTTTGGCGCAAGTCGATTTATGCATTCTCGCAAACAATGCCGCCTGTTTATCCAAGCGTGAACACATACCGCACAAAATGATAGATAGATAGATAGATAATGGTTTTTATTGAGAATAAAAGAACAACATTATTGTTGCATGATGTTTTGTTCGAAAGGAAAGGAAAGGAAAGGAAAGATACCACATGATTTGGGATGAAACACTCTTTCATAAGATGTATAATAATTGAACGTTTATAGATGATTTTTTAAATAATTAGCAATTTTCTAGGTGTAAACTTTTTTTTTGACTCACACTGTACAGCTGGTATTACTACTATTTCCACTATTAATACTACTGCAACTATGTTTGGTTTGGTGAAAGATTGGGGCACATTTCCGTTTGTTGTTGTTGTTTGTTTTTTTACAAGCAAGGGGAAGAAAAAAATCGAGAGCATTTAGGGCTCACAACGTTAAAATGGATGCAATTCTGCGTTTCTAAGACACATCACGGTTTTTGGATTTTAAAAGAGTCGTGTATCAGTCATGCCCCCCCTCCCCATTCCCTCTATCCGCCACAGATTAAGCTACAGATTATGTTCGAAGCAATTATACATGTACACGTGTAACGAGATAATGTACCAAAAGCTAACACATAACATGAGATAATAAGGTTCAAATAATAATATTTAAAGAATTCACGGGGTGGACATGCAAACAATCGTCGCAAACGCAAACGAAGATTCCTTTGTAAAGATACAACTCAGCCCCCCTCATGAAAGATTTACCTTTATATTTTCTAAACTTTGTATCTTATCGACGCTCCTTGATTTGACTGCATCTTTAGGGATGTGCAGCGACCGAGAAAAATAATCGTGTATTTTCTGTTTAACTCGACGGGAGGGGATGATCGCCTTTGGGAATTTGCCACTGAAGGCTAGGCACCTACAGTCAAACCTTGACTTCATAGACATTTGTCAAATCCCTCTCAACTTTCAGCCTATTGACGTTGTATTATTTGCTCAGATTAGCCATACCCCTAATAGAGTATTCAATGTTGTACGCGTATTAGCAATGGTGACCAAACAAGAATGTTATATTGTAATATTGACATTTGCACTCTAGCACACGCTAGAGTGGTTACGGGTTGTTTATAAATTATATTACGATTTTCCCTAAATTTAAACATATAAATAATGTCCTTTTTTATATTTGATTTGATTTTTATTAACCAACGGTGAGCAAAACCAACACTACATTTCATACAATGTGCATACATTTACATTTCATAAAATGTGTTTGCATTTACAAAAAGAGAAACTATAGGTTGGTATAAGCTAGGGCCAGATAAAAATAGCACAGATGTTTAAGCATATGGATGGTTAAACATCTAGACTTAAACATCGAAATGATCATAGAATTCACATAAACAGTAAAGTTAAGTGTTCATTTTTACTTGCGTATAAAGATGCATGTTATATTGCAATACAAACAAGTACCTATGTTATGAGACCCTAAAAAAATGTATGTTATGAAAATTATATCTAGTGTCGTGAGTCCTGATATAACGGCACTGAAGTTGTACAAATATACAAATATACACTGTCTTGAGTGGTTCTGGTTAAAACTATGCGCAAGAGGTGAATGGAAGCAAATGGTACTTTTGGAGTCACCGAGGCCCATAGTTTTAACCAGTATCTCGAGTAGAGGCATGGTATATTTGTTTTATATCCTGCATCGAACAAAAATTATAAAAATATTATAACAAAAAAAAAAAATTGGGAAAAAAAATTTTTATTCAAAAGATTAAAATATTAATTTTATATATTCATTAAATTAAGATAAACAAAATAAGAAAATCAATTTTTTTTTTTTTTAAATTTCATTTTTTTTTCAACTCCCAAATAGTAAACCCAAATACACTGTCGCTCATAAAGTTGGAATATTTTAGTTTTACCCCAATTTATGGAATTATTTTAAAAATAATTTTAAAATAATAGATCTAGATAATAGTGTGCATTCTCAGATTTTATTGAATAATAATTTGCCAATGTGTGTTTTGCGTGACTGCTAAAGCATGTGTATGCCACTATGCTTATCAACTAGAGGACCTATGCCCTTAAGTCATAAATGACAGTAATGAGGATTAATGCCCCACAAAAGGGCACTAATATAGCATATCGACACGGTTTTGATCCTGGGGCCTCACAGTTACGAGGCCATTGCTTTGTCACTGAACCTTTATGAGCGACAGTGTAGTACTCTCATATAGTACTTTCTAAAAATAGTTCAAATATTTCTGTTTATGTGACGAGCTCTCAACCAATCAAAAGCCAACAATTTTGTGATGCAGGATATAATATGAACTATACATTTTAATTTGGTATCAATATGCAGTTCAGGGGGTTCCTTTTCCTTCCCCTCCCCTTCCCACCCCACCCCCCCCCCCCCTCCCGATGGAATTGCCAAAATCACAAAAAGAGGTGAGTGAGAGTGGAGAACGTGAGATAATATAAGGACACAGCTTGCTTGAAAGTCATCGTCAACGATTCTATTATTATTATTATTATGTAAATGAACATCTTACAACAGATTATGATAAAGATATATCACGATTTGATTTAATGTTGAGTAATAAACCTGTAAACCAAAACTTACTCTTAGTGTTTCTTCTTCTCGTAAATAACCCTGCTACAGTGGCTATGATGTTGTTATACAGTGCGTCCCAGAAAAAACGAAACCGAGAATTATCGATGTTTTATCATAACTTAGCCACATTTATAATTAGTCAATGACACATATTTAGAAAGCTTAGATCCTCCTCTTTTATTTAATGTAACTCATATGACTCATATGTCACGTATGAGTGAGTAAAATTACTTTGGAGAGAGGAAACCAAAAAGTCGTTTGGCGGATGGTATCTGAATTTTAAAGAGAACATCACATTTCTAGAAAGCTGAGTTTCTGCCCTTTCATATAACACCTCAATCAGGAAAAATGAGCAATGAATAACAAAGTTCTGTTTGTTTAAAGTAGTGCTATCTTATCCATATTATTTTAAAAAGGTAAAAAATCATTCCTTGCCTCTCACCTTCTCCCCCTCCACCTTCTCCTGAAAATCATTCATCCCTTCTTCTCTCAATCTCGCCCCATTTCTTTTTCTCTCTTTCGTTCTCCATATCTCCCCTCTTCTCTCTACAACCCCCCTTATATATATACATCTCTTTCTCTCACTTGATCTCTCTCTCTCTCTCTCTCTCGCCCTCAATCTCTTTCTCTCAGACGATGTTTACATCAGCATCTCAGCGTCTCTACCTTGCCACCAAGCAGCAGGTATACTGGAGCCACATCAAGATTCTGGTCCCAAACACCTGGTCCACCCAGAGCCAATACCAGTCTGCTAGCACCGAAACCTCACAGTCTGCAAACATTCTCGTGCATAGCTTTACAGATGACGAACCGTATGTCGATAACTTTGAAGGATGTGGGAAAGAGGGAAGTCGGATGCACATGACATCAACCTATGTTCTAAATGCGCAGTACCGAGAAGCCAAGTTTGGCAACACAGGTAGACGTATTTCATGAAGTGCATTTTGTATTTAAATTTGAATGGCATGTACTTGTAGGCCTACAATAGACACCATTGCCAAATTTGCAAAGAATTGACAGACGCATATTGACATTTGACTAACAGCATGACAGACAAATGGTGCTAGGACATCTACCCCCTAAACAATCATCCCCGGGCAATTACCTACGGACAATTACCGCAAGGAAAATTACCCCCCGAAAAATTACCTATTTGACAATTGGTATCCCCCCCCCCCCCCCCAGGACAAACACCCCCTAGGGCAATTACAACCTGACATTTGTACCCTTATGACAAGTGTTTCAACATCCAATAACGCCGAGGACAATTATCCCCGTATTAGTACCAAAAGGACGATTCCCTCAAAGGAAAACCACCCCCTGAAGGACAATTGCCCCCGTAATATTACCCCCTAGTACAATCAACCGAATACTCACATAGTGGTTTTCCTTGGGGGTTAATTGTCCTATTCTAATTTTTTTCCGGGGGTAATGGTCCCGGTAGTATACCCGGAGGTGATTGTCCAGCGGGTAATTGTCCTGATACGTCGACAATAGTAATATTTGATGTAGTGACAGCAAAGTTGGAGAAATAATTACATGTTTAACAAGATGTTTTAAAAACCAAACTGAAAAAGAATGACCAAATTAAATTAAATTAAATAAAGTAATTGAATTTCATTACTAAAGATTGTCAACCCCAGTCTACCGACATTTATCACCGTCATCTTGTCATGTAGATGTAAATATGAATTGTATACGTTGCGTGTTGTTTGCTTGACCAGTCCTTCACCCCCCCCCCCCCCAGCCCCTACACACCTATACTAAATAGCTGGCCACGGTATTTCCCTGACTTAACTTGAATTTTCACAGTAGGCATGAATATCGAAACCTTTTTTATCTTCATGTCGTTAGACAACGTCTTAGTCCGAACCTGGGGGTATTACCGTTGGGGATTGTTCAAAGAACACTACGACGGCAAAGGAGGCGGTTTTCCTACCTATGACTCAAACGGTACTACACAAGGAACCCGCTGCTCCCTCGGGATCGAGGGAGAATTGAAAATGCCTAATCTTGACGATTGCAGGCCTGATCCTGGCGGTATATATAATTCCGATTGCCTTTTCATTCCTGGAAAAGATGGACATACGGCTACAGCTTCGCTACTGTTTGGAACCAGAGATGTTGACATATATTCGGTAAATTATTATGTTTTATGTCCTAAAATTCAGAATTGGCTCTGCATTCTCATAACGTTTAGATTCATATCAGATCAGGTCCAAGGTTTTTGGTAATTTGCTGCCCCATATATAGCTTTTCAGGTATAAGGAAAACCAAACAGTAGCTAGTATATCACGAGTGTTCTGTTTCCTTGGTATTTGGTTGTATATCCAAGCTCTTGGAATCGTTAGTGTGGTAATTATTAAGCTGATGCTGGTAACGTAGATATACAATGCATTGGGATTGCACATGACGTCATAGTCGAATAGATTTTTAAAGAGCAAATATGAAAAAAAAAATCGTGTTTTAAACACCTCAGAGACATCGTCGAGCAAACCATTTCAAACTGATACAGAAAACTGTAATTGGTTATAGCGTAAATCCACAATCGTAGTATATTTAAGCTCCTACCAAACTTAAATTTAGTAGGCAAACTTTCATCCACTTCTGAGGTGTGTCACAAGCCAGGTAAGTTCTTCCACACATTTTCTTGCTGCCTGCTGAGTTGATATCACTTGAGCAAAGATAGGAAACAATGACAAGCATGCAGAGTATTTACTTTATCTCTCTCCATTTATTCCTCAATCTTAGTATAGCTATGATCCTACCAAACGCATGGGCATTATCCCAATCAACATTTCCAACTCGCTAATGCCTATCCCGTATTTCAGATAAAGGAGTTTTGTGACGACGATGAATCAGACCTAGATAGCCTACACAACAAATTAGCTAAAAATCTCATGAACATTAGATGCGGTGAACGCAGTGCATGGTCGGTAATGAGGGATCATACAGACTTCCAGGCGGATGTCCAACCGGTCTCTTACACCGCTCCTGTATTTGAGGTCCTCCAGCTCTCGTCAGTCAGAAGTGTAGTACTTGTTCTCGACATCAGTGGTAGTATGGAAGTAAGTATGTGCTCCCTCTTCCTGCCACCCTCTCTCTCTCTTTCTCTCCCTCCAATGTTGTGAATATGTCACCGGTCTGTAGATCACATGGTTTGACTTTAGAATCCAAGCCGCGGCATTAATGTCCTTTAATAGGGAAAGTGTTTATCTACACTTTCCACTCTCCACCGAGGATGATAATATGGGTAGCAGGTCTAATCTATATTATTTAATGTTTTCAGCGAATTAGGGTAGATAGGCTAAAGCCAGGTTAATAACGTTCACAGACCCGTTGATTCCACCCCACCTCCTATGAAGAGGATTGACTTTCGAGTTGATATCAAAGCTGAAATGTCAAGAATCGTTAATACAGAGGCTCTGCGCTCTCAAATTTTTAAGACTGATACATGTGCAAGATTGATTTTAATCAACATTTTTTTTTAAAATGTATACATTTGTTCAAATACAGTTTAAATCTTGTTTAATTTTCTTTCAAACACATATACATATAAGTTTAATTCAGTGTCAATACCGTTATCGTAGAGTTATTCGATCCTCAATGTGATACATGAAAAGTATATGACATGTCTTCATTACATGTTTAATATAGTATGTACTAAAATAGGTTCAGGGTCCACTTCGTGGGACCCTATCCTAAACACATGAAAGCGAACAAATAGGAAACGATGATTCGACTATTCCCACCTTTATATCGTAACACATATTAACACCCTGTTGAACTCGCATACAACAATAAGTATTCAAGATTAAAATTTAAATCGTTAATGAGTCAATAACAGTGGACGAATAAAATCAATGGCGACTACTTACGCGCATACAAAGATTTAATTTACCGTATTTTACCATGACATTACATGCTTCTGTTTTTAGGGGAACCGATTTGACCGAATGATCCAGTCATCTGTAGTTTACATCATGAGTGTAATTCCCACTGGCAGCAAGCTTGGAATCGTAGTTTTTGACTCGACATCGCAAATCAGTGGAAATCTTACGGATATTACCGAAACCGCTTCGCGTCAAAGACTCGTCAATGCCTTACCGCCGTCTCCGGTGGGTGGCACATGTATCGGATGCGGGATATTATCAGGCATTGAGGTACGATCGGCAAGTTCTAACTTAATTCAAACCCGTGGCAAACGAGGCGTCATTTGCCTGACACAGGACTGTGACAGCGATTGACGCGGTATGTGGTGCGCCATGTCAGAGTAATGCCTGGATTACATTTCGCCTGCGATTAGTCTACGGGGCCCATATCCTGCCCGTATCACCTTTTTCGTGCTGCCTCCGTGGGAAGACAAGAGGCGGCCGTGACATTTTTGTACGGATTCACGGGCTCCGCGGCGACTACCATTTTGTTTCGCGGGGAGTTAAACAAATTTGAAAAATGGTAAGCCCGTAGCCCGTATACAAGTCGTAGGTGGCATTGCACAATCACCGCACGGGCATTGCGTGGAGGCCTCACGCTGATCGTGCACGATTTTTCAGTGAACATGGGGGCAACAGACGCCAAAAAGACCAAACACCTCGCCTTCTCCGCGCAACCTCTGCACGGAAGATGCACGAGACCCGTTCGATTTCCGTGCGGAGGTCGCAGAGACTGCACGGGTGTTGCACTGACATTGCACGATTTCCGTACAATCTCCGAGCAGCCTCTGTACGGATGTGCCCCGGTCTGCCCCCGATAAATGGCACGATGCTCCTAGATAATGTAAACACAAACATCGTAGCCCGTAGCCTCATACGATTACCCCCCCCCCCCCCAAATCGCACGAAAAATCGTAGACCAATTTATCGTGCGGCGCCCGGGCCAAATGTAATCCAGGCATAACATCGAACGAAAAGTGAATGGAAAGTGAACAGTGCGTTTATCGCGTTGCGCTACAAGTCCAGTGGTTATTTGCCTTTACGCGCTTTATTAGCGCAAGTAATAACGCAACAAAAATGACAGCTCTTGCGCAACGGGCATAACCTGACCAATATGTCTTAACCCTGTATTATATATTTTTTTTACCAAAATAGGCCCTAGTTAAAATACACAACTATTTATTCAACAAGTCTTCAAGAGCAAGCAAAAAAGTGGAGATTCACACATTCATTGAAGTGATTTAAAGCCCGTCTGTACTAGTTTGGCCAGGGGGGATGAGACCATCCTGCAAGGTCACTGACAGGTGGTTTTCTCATCAAATCAGCTCTCAATTAACATAATATAAAGAGGATCATGGAGGACCAACAGGACCGATTAGGCATTGTTCGCTATATAGAGGGCGCAAGTAACAATAAGGATCTTTCAAACATGACTTCTGGTATCCCAATTTGCCTTTCTAGGTACTGGGGTCATACGCACAAGGTGGATACATCATACTCCTCAGTGATGGAGAAGAGACTGATGCTCCGTTCATCATGGACACATATGACGAAATTAAGAACTCAGGAGTCATAATCGACACCATCACTATAAGCGACTCAGCTGATCAGCAAATGGAAGATCTTTCCACAAACACTTCTGGCATAGCAAACTTCTGTTCGGATGATGCCAGGACTGGAATTCGTCTAATTCAGGCATTTCAGAGTACCATAACGGAGAGACCTGACGTTGGCATGGAAACGGTTCCTGTACAGGTTTGTCGTCTATTAAGCCCCCATCACACCAAATTAGTTCTCACTACGTTCCAGAAAATGTTGCCAAACGTGCTCAAACTGTGTGCGAACGGAGTTGAACGTAATAGCAACTGTTTACGATCTATTTAAGGACTTCGTGGACGGGCTCGGACTGGACTAATGTCTCTAATACGATCCTAGCTCGTATATTAACAGTCCACAATACGTCCAACTCGTCTGCACCCGTCCACAGTCATTTCATATCAAGTTCGGAACGTCGGGTAAATTTGACATTTCCAAGCAGTCCAAACCATTTTTACTATTTCGGAACTAGTTCTAACTAGTTTATAACCCAACCTCCCCGTTCATAGACACTTCAATTAATCCTCATCTGGTTCTTAGTCCGTTCGAACACGCTCATATCGTGCTGTGCAATCCCGTCCTGGTTCGAGGGCTATAAAAACCCATCGCGTTCTTCCTAATTGATGGTCTACCGGATCACGTTGTAACATGTTTCTAGTAGGATCGAAGTACAGCAATTCCGTTCGTACTACGGCAGTTCTGTTCGTAGTACGTCCATCTCGTTTGAAGTACGTTGTCACTCCGTCTAATTGCAGGACGGAGGAAATGTTGAACAGGCTCAAAAATCTAGAGCACTCCTTCTCGTCCAAGCCAGTCCGAGCCCGTCCATGAAGTTCTTAAAAAGATCGTGAATAGTTGTTAATACGTTCACTCCGTTTGCACACAGTCTGAGCCCGTTTAGCAACATTTTCCAAAACGTAGTGAGAACTAGTTTGGTATGATGGGGGGCTTGACTTGAATTTCTGGATTGGCAATGCTTGAAGCGTTGAAGTTGAACGGGAATGAGGAATGGCGAGAACGCGCTGAATGTGTATAGCTCCCGAGCCAGGACGGGATTGCACACGCTCTAGGAGCGCGTTCGAACGCACTAAGAACGAGATGAGGACGAGTTGAACTGTCTCTGAACAGGGTGGTCGGGTTGAAAAACTAGTTAGAACAAGTGGCGAACTACTAAGAATAGGTTTTGACGTATTGGGAACGAGAAAGAACTAGTTAATAATGGATTTAAACTGAATACGGACTGGCCTTGGACTGCCTGGAAATAGCAAATTTACTCGATCTGAACATGATATGAACTGACTGTGGACGGCGTACAGTCGAGATGGACGTATTGAGGACTGTTTATGAACGAACTAGGATCGTATTATAGACATTTTTTTTTACATATTCTGCCCCGACCACAAACCGTTTTACGATTTTCTAGGATGGTTCAAGAACGTAGTAAGAACAAGTTTGGTGTGATCAGGGGCGTAAATCCCAGGGGGGGGGGGGGGATGGGGGGGGGGGGGGCTGCATCCCCCCCTGGCTTGAAGTAGGGGGGATGGCCTGTAAAATCATCCCCCCCCCTGATATTACAAAACAAAGAGAGAACAAAGGAAGAAGAAGAAAAAAAAATGTGATTGTTTCAATTTCAGCATAATGCATGAGAAATTAGTTTTTTTTTTTAAATTATTTATGTATAACTGTATAGCCTACACGTATACAGTATGTCACGATCATTAAGAGTAGTTTCACGACGTGCGCGAACAAGCACTTCATAAACTTCAGAATAATTGTTCGTTATTTTGCAAGGTATTATTATAGCCCAGACGTAAAGTGCGCCAGCGCGCGAGCGCTTAAAAAGTGCAATCATGTACAGTAGATGCCCGGTTCCCCCCACTTAGTATGGGTGTCGATCCCGGGGGGGGGGGATGGGGGGCGGGGGATATATCCCCCCAATATTTCAGGTGGGGGGGATGGCCTGTACAATCATCCCCCCAATAATTCACCATCAAAAAAAAAATGAATAGAAAAATTAACGATGAGAGCCCGATGAGAGTAGTTATTGGTTATTACTCGCAAGATGACCATCAATATACACATTTTGCTATCTCATTTTCATAATACATACGTAAATGAGACAACCGCTCATACGGCTTCATCAGGAATTGATCAATTTATTCAATTTATTCAATCAATAGCATCATAGAAATGCAGTGCGCCAAATGCAAAGCCGCAGCGTTAAAAAAGCAACGAGCTAAATGTTAAGCGCGAAGCGGAAAAGTGCAAAAAAGAAGTAGAGAGTGTGAGAGAGAGAGATAATGAGAGACAAAGAGGATACAGGCGCTTAGCCAGGTGGGGAGGCGGTGGGGGCGATCGCCCATCCCCCCCCCCCCACCTCCCCCCTCCCCCCCCCCAAAAAAAAAAAACGACGGCCAAAAAAACAAGAGAGAGACAGAAAAAACAAAGGAAAAGAACGTAGGAAGAAACAAGATTAAGAGTCGAGAACGGTACAACAAATCGTCATCTTTCTCTAATAATGTGATAAAACGTCAAAGCTTCCGCGCTTTGCGCGGGAAGGGGGCGGGCGGAATTCAGACAAGGATTAAGAGTCGAGAACGGTACAACGAATCGTCTTCTTTCTCTAATGATTTAATGAAACGTAAAGCGCTTCGCGCGGGAGGGGGGTGGGGGTCTGAATTCAGACGAGGATTAAGAGTCGAGAACGGTACAACGAATCGTCTTCTTTCTCTACTGATTTTATGAAACATAAAAGCTTCCGCGCTTCGCGCGGGAGGGGAGGGGGAACTGAATTCAGACGAGGATTAAGAGTCGAGAACGGAACAACGAATCGTCTTCTTTCTCTAATGATTTAATGAAACGTAAAAGCTTCCGCGCTTTGCGCGGGAGGGAGGGGTGGGGGGGGGGGGGTCTGAATTCAGACGAGGATTAAGAGTCGAGAACGGTACAATGAATCGTCTTCTTTCTCTAATGATTTTATGAAACGTAAAAGCTTCCGCGCTTCGCGCGGGAGGGGGGGGGGGGGGAACTGAATTCAGACGAGGATTATTTTCGAGAACGGTACAACGAATCGTCTTCTTTCTCTAATAGTGTTTGTTGTTTGTTCGTTTGTGTGTGTGTGTGCGTGCGTGTGTGTGTGTGTGTGTTGTGTGTTTGTGCGTGCGCGATCGCGCGCGTTTGCTAGTCTGCAGGCACAGACCCTAATTTGACACTTTATCAACAAATCATTGTGCCTTGAGAGAAGTCTAGCCCAGCTACCTACTGGTTGTGTCAGGAGCAGCTACAGTACATGGCCTATGGTAGTCTTATATTGCAGACTCACTTTTACGACTGACCAGGGTTTGTGCTTGCAGACTACGCGTTTGCGTAAATTAGTGTGGGCGTGTGCTCGTGCTAGTATGTGATGGCGATCGCCGATCATTCCCCCCACTCCTCGGTACGGATTTACGCCCCTGGGTGTGATGGTGGCTTAATTCGAATATTCACCGTGTGTACGTTGTAGAAAAAAAGGGTAATGGGTTCTCAGCTTCATAACAAATCATCGGGGTCTTTTGAATGAGGGCTAAAAGACAAATGAGCGTGATTAGAATTCAACATTCTCGTTTTTTCTCCTTTTACAGACCTATACAGACTTCGTCAAAGGTCAGATAGTTTGCAGACCACTCAATTATATATTTTATTCGTTTCCTTCTAGCATATTTATTTTAGATTAACTCTAAATAACTACGAATCTGTAATCAATTTGCGTTTTGTCAAAGAGACATGAATTAAAAAAAAAAAAGGAATTCTGTATGCGTATGAGTCATTGAGGTTTTTTTTTTAACAAAACAAATTGTTGTTCAAGTAAAGTCAATGACACACGGTTTTCGAGTTCAAAATGTTAAGATATCATATTCTTAAATCTCGTTTTGGAATTTTTTCAGGTGTACAGTTCCGATTTCATTATCGAGCCCGATCCTGGCTTCTACAATATTTCGCTGGTCATTGACGCCGCACTTGGCTACGAAACGGTGATCGTCGTGATCTGGACGGAGAGTCATTCGATATCAGTCGTAGTAACTGAGCCAGACGGTATTAGAGTTGACCATAACGATCCTCGCTATCAAATTGATACAACATACAAGATTGTGACGATCAACTTACCTCTGGCGCAGGTGAAGCTTCTGTAACTTATTGTCTTGTTAGAGGAAACAGTACCTACCTTTCTACCAAAAAACATTGGGCCCATTCACACATATTGATTTTAATCGTGATGCAAAGATTGATTTTTTTTTTTTTTTTTTTTTTTTTTGGGGGGGGGGGGGCGACTGTTCACACATCTCAATTCAGTGCGAATCGGATCGCAATGCTAAGATTTTTTCGGTGACCATTCGCACACATGGAGAATTCTCGCTCGACGATGTATGCGGGCTTGGAATCCTGGGATTAAATACATCGATTTTTGTTATTCTCATTACCATTTACGCACACAGCGCCCGCCATACTATCGCGTTTTTTTTTTAATCTTTAAGACTTATTGTGAATTGGATCGCGATGCAAATCGCGAAGATAAGTGAATTTATTCTGTCCACACACGCAATACAACAACCGCATTTTTTTTAAAAAAATTTAATTTTTTTTTTTATCGCGATGCAAATATCAATTTTTAAATCTCTTTTTTTTTTCTGTGGATGTGAATGTTCCTAGATTAATGGTACCACGTCAACGTAATGTCAGTCTTTCTTTTCGTTAACCTTGCTGCTCACAACGTGCCAGTATTGAGGGAATGTGTGATCAAGTCATTTCAGTTCTAAAACTATGAATTTTGTATTTAATGTTTTCTTTTGACTAACTTGGCAAAAAGTTATTCTAAATTTGCAACATTCGACCTCAAACTCACACTTTAATACATAGAAACAATTTAGGATCTGCCATATGCCCTAAACAAGAAATGAATAGTATTAATATTATTAGTAGTATTTGTTTTATTATTAGTAGTATTAGAAGCAGCAGCAGCAGTAGTAGTAGTAGTAGTATTGTTATTATCAATATTATTATTACTATCACAATCATTATCACTATTTTTTATTATCACTATTATTGTTGTTTTGATTATTGTTTTTCTTCTTCTTCTTCCTATTACATTTATTACTGTTATTATTATCATTATTATTATCATTATTATTATTTTCATCATATAGAAAGGTTCATGGAATGTAACTATTAACGACTTAGAAGTAGGCGTTGTGGAGCATGTTGGTGTTTCAGTAACATCTAAACCAACTACGCAGGAATATTCGCCAGTGACAGTGACTGTGTCATTAGGATCTCGTGTAAGTATACTGTTGATTTATTTCTTATATCGATCTTTTCTTATGGATCCATGATAAACTTGTTTATTATTCTATAGTCAAAACAGTCACATGCATTGTTATCATAGGGGGTTCGGCTGACCCATACCTTGTAACTTATAATATTAATAATCCAATAGGATAATTAACACATTTTTACTAAGGGATCTATTTGACTAACAGGTAGGAAAACAAAATCGATCTGGTGTTTTCTAATATATTATTTGGCATAGACATGTTTCTTTTGAATCTACCGATGGTTTGCTTTCTATTAATAGCATGAGCGGTGACGGAAGAAGTAACATATTGCCTAGCTTATTTACCACATTTCCTGTTAACCATGTTTACTCTTTCGTTTACCTCTGTATCTGTATTTATTAAGGAGGTGGATTTTACCGAGACTCCAGCACTAGCTATATATGCTCAGGTTCAACAGGATTATCTGCCTGTTCCCCCTGCTGACGTCACAGCTATCATTTCGGATTCATCTAACACGACCTCGATGACATTGCTCGACAACGGGTCAGGTGAGCCAATAGCGAGCTTTCGATTCGACGCGACTATAAACGCGTTGTGCAACAAGTGACGTCACTTTTATGAATGTGCACATGTGTCAGCTTTGCCGATGCAGTGCCGAAACTGCTTTATCAAGGGTTAGGAAAGCCATTATTCTTGTTCAGACGATGGCAATTTTGGTCGACGTAAAAGTCGTGTTAAGAGCTAGTCGGCGGAAATATGGTGAGGTCGGCGTAAAGGTTGGAGTAGTGATCGTCTAAACAATGGTCGTGTTAACCACGCCTACCTTTACGCCGATTTACTCCTTGATGTATGCAGGAGTAACGCGCTAACGCGACTAGAGGGTAGCGTAATTTGACCGTGTGGATGCTCTCACTTGGCACTCGGAGTATCTGTGACCTTTCCGAGGGTTGTTTGTTTACAATCGAAAAAAGAAAAATAGATTCCGCACGGTTTAGATGCGGAAGGTGGGTTGAGGTTGACTTATGCGGGCGCAACCACTTTCAGGGACTTTGTTAGATCCTGGATTCGCCCTGATTTCTGGAAGTTACGCTGAGTAAGACTGGGTCGATGGAAGGTGGCAAGTTAGTCCAAGTAAGAGAGTGTGTACAATTAATGGTGTAAGTCAAATATTAATGAGATATTTACTGCTGCAAGGATTAACTTACGCCGACTAGGAAGCCCCTGTTTTGACATGGGTAATAGCGCGTAACGTCCTGCACTAAATTGTGACATCTGCTAAGGCAGGCGTAGTCTAGTTCTGGACCCTATAATGATTTTTGTTATTCGCCGACTATAAACGTTAAGACGAGTGATGGCGCGATCCTTAGTGATTGCGAGACCCCCACTCACCGCGCTAGGGGACTTGCTATCACTAAGGATCGCGCCATCACTCGGCTTAACGCTTATAGTCGGCGAATAACAAAAATCAATATAGGGTCCAGAACTAGACTAAGGCAGGCGAGGATCCAGGATTACTTGGGGGGGGGGGGATTTGAAATCAATTTGAAATTTAGTGTGCCGAAATTTGAAAATCGTGCCGGCCAACATTTCGCTCAGTGGGGGGGGGGGGGGGGGGGGGGGGGGGGGGGGGGGGGGGTATGCAAATAATACACAGCAGTGAGGGCAATGAGGGCAATAGTAAGAATTACCCACACAAGCTACCTTTAGAACAGTCTAACACGCCCAAAGTGGTATAGCCGATTGTGTTTGGACTGTTTTGAAGGTACCGAGTGTAGGTAATTATACTAATGCCCCTAAAAATTGATGTGTATTATTTGTTTTATAAGATTGTTTAATTTGTTTTTATAAAATAACATGATTCGGATAATGATCGGTCATTAGAATTGGATAATGACCGATCATTATCCAAATTACGCGTTTAACAAAATAAATGCCTCGTCACGTGTACGCTTTCAACCAATTATTTATTTAGTATCCACGTCACCATCTTATAATGAGTACTATGGTTTTAATTTGGCCCTCGAAACTTTTTTTTCTAGGGAGCGTGCCCCCCACCCCCCCCCCCCCCCCCCCCCCCCCCCCCCCCCACTGGATCCGCCACTGTGCTCAGGTGTCAGCTCGACCACTGCAGTAGCGAATATAATCTATCTGCCTATTGTGCATTTCTATTAGATATTACAATTAGTGCCTGATATCTATTTGCATTCTTAATATTCTCAGTAACTTGTTGAATTAAGGCCATATGAATAAAAACAAGTGTTTACACAAAACACTCCTGTAACTCGATAGTGCGAGAAGTCATTCGGTTTAAGAATACAAATAAGGGAAACTGCATTGAAAATTGTAAATTAGATTTTCATTTCATTTCTTCCAATGTAAAGCTATTGGACAGCGAGAGCAAAGCCTTTCCCAAGCAGTTATGGTATTTAGTAATTAAGCAGAACTCTTAATCTTCGTCTCTTATTCTCTCTGCATTCATCAGGGTCCGACTTATTCAAAGGCGACGGGACATATTCAGGGTTCTTCCTAAGCTTCACTTCTAATGGCAGATATAACGTCAAGGTCAATGTCGTCGGCTATGATGGCTCAGGGAACCAGAGAGGTTTGTAAAAAAGATCTAGTTTAACTGTTTCTATATGGTTCACATTAGTCAGGCCTATATACTAAAACAAAAATTACATCTTGTATAAGTGCAAGGCAGAGAAATCCATTCCTTCCATGGACATATTTGAGGTCATTTGCAATTGTACAGTAAATAAAGAAATGATAGCTAATATGTGTACAGCATAGTATATGTCCCGAGTTGAAGCACTAAACTGCTGAAGGATCTAGACTCCCTGGTTCGATCCGTGTTCGGTGCCTACATCCTTAGCCAAGTTTTTTTTATCCCTCTCTACCCACTCAGGTGTAAAATATATACCTTAACATTTTGCCTTAATATTCGTTAAAGGGCCCACAGGAAAGTTAGTATTGATACTGGTGAGGCTTAAAGAGAACACAAGACCGAATTATCATTACAATTATTTCATCCAATAAAAAAAATGTTGGAATATTTTGACTTGTCCAATTGGGAGAAGTTATTAGGAGAAATGTCATGACAATTTTACACAGTTTACCTCGACTGTTTGCATCTAGGAAAAAGGTCAGCTGAACGTGAAGTTGAGACCGCAGCAGAGCCATCTTTCATGCGTACAGCATCGGGAGGAGTCTTCAAAGTCCAAGGCTACACTCCGAACGCCACTGATATTCTGCCACCTTCCCGTATCCAGGACCTGGTATATACATCTTTCTCATATGACAACAGCACGGTGACCCTCAGGTGGACTGCTGTAGGAGACGACTTGGACCAAGGAACGGGTAAACAATATTTAATGTCTATGGAGTCTTTAGAGGGAATTTTGATGAGACAGCGCTTTGGAGAGGGGCTGGGGTAAAGGGCACAGTGCCCCCCCCCCCCCCCACACTGTTCAAGTACCCCAAAAAATCCCGTTTTTCACTTCAGATAAATATCCTCTTTTTCTTTTTAATAAGTGCCTTTACACCTCTACACCTGTGATAAGTGCCCCTACTCAAATCTGATAGGTGCTTTCCCTTGTAATTAATGCCAAATTCCACTTCGTTTTAGTGCCCCTATTTACCTCTCTCAAGTGCTTGTTTTGTAGAATATGCGTGCTCGTTTTCGCTGCTATCGATTTTTTCTTTTTAGAAAGGTAATTTTAATATTTTAAAACAATGTGCCATGTTTACACAACAAAAAGTCAACCATCAGCTGTCGTATGCCCCATCAAACTACCATGACATTTTTTTTTTACTCAACTGCTAAAGCCTCTAATCCTTTAAACCCCATAGCATTTTGAAATTTACAGAATACCAAGCTCATCAATTGTCCTTTGTTCAATGTTCAAGCAATGCAGTTTCTTTCAACTCAAAGCAACCGCATTTACATTACCAAATGTCATTCATATAAAAAAGAGACAATGATAATTATCAAACGTGCTATGACATACTGATATGATCACTCCTCAACTCCCCCGAAACAGTTGGTTTACCATAGCCTCCTTAGCATGTGAATCATGTAAAAGGTCTAATCCATTCTAATGATTACAATGTAGGGGTATATACCAATGTATATCCTTCTTAGGTGTCCCCTTTTCAACAAAGTGTCATTTTTGTTGGTACACCCCTACTTTGAAAAGACGCTGCACCACCCCTGAACTTTGGTACTGACGGCGAATATTAGGGAAAGAACGGTTGAGGAAAAACGGGGAACATGTCATGTAGACCTGTGGTCATATAAGAATACGATCAAAATGAAGGTGACGAGATAAAGAAAACATTTATAAATCAATGATTTGTGGAAAAATTATCGACCTATGATGCACTCCTCTCAGTGAATGCACTCAAATTAATATATTTTTTGGGTATATGCAATAGAGTTAGGCATGTCGATAACATAGTCATAAATCTTGCTACTGTTTCAATTCTTACCACAAAGCTTACAATAACGAACTCCGCTATTCCACCAACTTCGATGAGGTCCGAAACTACTTCAGCAATAGTCATGAGGTCACACAGGATCAACTGGTCTACGGGAACTTATCCGTTATCAGTCCTGCTGGCGTTATTGAGACTGTCACTATTTCCCTTCCTGCGAGGGGTAAAGAAATCGTCTACTATTTCGCAATTCGGGCTTGGGACGAGGCAGGGAATGGAGGGGACTTGTCCAACATCGCTTCCCTGTCGATCCGCTACATACCGGTGTATGTGCCCACAACTGCCGAACCAATACCAACGTCTGTACCCACAACCATCGATCCAATACCGGTGTCTGTAGCCACCATCGAACCAACTGGGCCAGACAACCTGGCCCTGATCATCGGCGTGTGTTTTGCAGTTGTTGTGGTAATCATCGTTGGAGCTGTCATACTGTGCGTATACTACCGGAAAACACACTGCGGACGAATGAAACCTAATGCAGCACCAACACAAGAAAATCTTCAAGACGTGGAGGGGATGCAACATAATCCAACCTATGATAATCCTACTTTCTCTACAAACTGATTTACTCTCTAAATGTACTATGTAGTGGAAATCGCGTCTTAGGGAGTCATATCGGGATCACTACTACGTTTTAGGTGAAATTCGCACTCAAAAGAAATTTGAGTTAATTTCATTTCGTTTTATTTCATTTCATTTATAATTATTTATGTTCAATTTACATTTGACGTGAATATTTGTTACGCTCATATACACGTCTTTATAAATAGTAGTAATAGTTTACAAGAGCAGAAACTAAAATAAAGTATGTGTTGTGTTGATGACAAGAATACATGTAAATATTAATTTGTTTTTCGTTTGGTTACTGCTTGTTCCGTTTCACCAAACACGTTAAACGATTTGCAATTTAGCTGTCTTTAAATATACATAACAATCACTACCATTAGGTCATGCTCATAATTGTAAAAGGCAGCTCTTAAACTGAAATAATGAAAAGTTGTAGTGCATTTAAAAAAGCGATCTCACGTATGACTCTTTAAATGAGCTGAATTCCACTCCTGGGAAATAAAAGGATCATTAAGGATACATTCTGTACATATCCAGGAGGACAACGGATTGTGCAAAAAGGATTATACATCTAATAAAGGCTCGTTCATATATGACTTGGTAAAATTGCGACAAAGTTTTCTTGTAAATGATATAATACGATTCACATGTCTGAATCCTTGAACACAGAGGTAATAGAAAACGTACGCGCACGTCCTTTGTTGAGTGCATTTGATATTCGTTTTACACGTGGTGAAATACCGCGGCGGCCTTATTTGCGGCATTTTACCGCGCCACATCTGAACAAGCTTTATGAAATCGTAATGACATTGTCGAATACTGGACATGCAGTTTGACTGTGAAAGAACTGTCGAGGAGTCATATTGTGGATCACCTTGGTTTGGGAGGAATTCCGCTCTCAAGAATAATAATAGTTTAGTTCACTCACACAAAAAAGAGATATCCAACCATTACTTTGGAATGGATAATTTTGGGCGGATTCAACCCCAAAGAAAGTGATCCCTAATATGACTTCTGAAAAGAGTGATTTCCACTCTCTTCATGTGATGTGTAGCCGATTCATTCTTGTCTCAGAAGGGATTGGTGTGACCAGTTAGAATGTAGAATATCGGTCAGGGAACAAAGACACTATCGAACAATTATCAACGAAGGTTATGTCGTAGCCAGGTTAAACTTGTACTACACTCGAGATTGCAAATAATCTTGATATCACAAACAGTGAAAATGACTTGACACCAACATTGACACAGAGGGCTTCACAGACATGGGGCTTCAGAATTTGCTCCAAAATATATATTGCCACATTGAAATATGAGAACATTTGAGAGCAAACTTGTTTGTATAATAGATCATTTTCAAGACCGTTTCCTTTAACATGGCAATACAGATACAGAATACATTATCTAGCACATTATGTCACCCTTTGCTGAACTCAATCATCATATTTTAAGGTTTTATAATTCTGTTCAGAAAAGAATCCAATTGAAAAAAGGGTTTTTATTTGTTTTCTCTGAGTTTGCTGTTTAACTGTTTGCTGTTATTTGCTTGTTTTTGTTATGAAAGGAAAAGTGCATGTCATCATCGAAAATCGCTTGCATATATCATTATTTAGATATCATAGCTTTAAAAAAAAACACATTAGCACTGTACTGGTTTTGTTTTTTTGTTGATATGAATAATTTATTACTGATTCATTTCTGTGTGATGCTTTAATTATAGGATTCTTTCCAAGATTTAACTACTACGTATCATGTATCAGTTTATTCAGTGATAGTCTCGGTTGTTAATTTTTTTCCCGACGATATGAATAGATATAACTCTTCACTTACAAATTATGAAATGTGAGAAATTTTTGTATTAGATATAATTATTTAAAGAAGTATCACGCGTTATATATGAGCTTCTTTGTCCACATAAACTCGGAAAAACCCAAGAACACTGTACTCGGTTTTGTTGCCATTGTTTTTAAGTTAGTTGTAATATTACTGGTAAAAGTCACGGACCTTTCCATGAACGTCAGAAAGAACACTGGAAATTGAATTGTATGTCCTTTTGTTCTCTTTTTATAATAATAATAATAACATTCCGTTTTGTATATAGCGTTCGATACATTGATCCAACGATGTGCCTATTAGCGCGTTACAGATATATTATTACCCCTGTCATCGGATTCAGTAACTGTTATTGTAAAATAAAGAGAAATTGAATGAGACCAGTGATTTTAACAAATTGGTATATGTTAATACGAGGGCTTGATCTAAGGTGTAACTAATAGAGAAATTTGGAAGATTAGTATGTGTTGTGTATGGATATAGTGAGTGTGTGTGTGTGGGGGGGGGGTGCACGTGTGGGTATAAATACGCAAATTCTCTCTACTTTGTCCGTTCTAACATTCACCTATTTCATTTTCTTCTTGTTTCAGGATAGTTTCTCTCATTCTTTCAATTCCACTATCGCTCTCTTTTCGTTTTAAACATGATGGCTAAAATTGGCATCACACTCGAGAATAACTTATGTTTTTAATTTATTTTCATTTATACTTCGAAAATTACGATTGCCTAACTTCAGTTTAGGTTAAATATCAAACCACTGTGAAAGACTGCTACCATCAATGCTGCTATATTGTATAAAGAACAGCATATTGTCCTTCTCCACACTCTATATATAACGTGAACGAATATGCAAATGCAATAGATTATTTCCTATATTCACTGTATCGTTGGACATAATTATAAGGAATAGGCGTTTCATAGATATGTGGGATGTGGTTGCAAGTTTATGGCCCATGCAAATGATGGGAATAATTACCAAACGAATTCAAAACCTCACCGCTTCACTGAATTCAGTGTGGCAAGAACCAGAAGCTCACTAACTCAAAGGAATAAAACAAGAGTGGCTTTCTAACTCTTCGAAATAAACCGTATTTGAAAAGGCAAGCCTAACTGACCTACTCTCTTCATTACCCAAGAGATACATCGAAAAAAGAGGAAATCCATTAATGATATTAATATTAGTGATACTGAGTTCTTGTTAGCGCATTTCACATATTTACCCATTTCTTATATGCCCATACTAAGCATAAGAGCATTGGATTATTAACCCAGCTCTATCCCAGCTGCATTGATAAGGAAATGAATCATTTAAAGGGCCCATGACATCGAAATACAAGTGTATTCCTATTGGTGTGCAGTCCTGCATACATCTCATATTTTGATATGTAAACTTCTGAATTTGTTTCATAGATTTTGAAATATTTCTTGAAATATTTGTTTTTCAAACTTGCTATTAAAAGCTCCACCCCAAAAAACCTCCAGATCTCATTCCCTTCGTGACATCATCTGTCAGTTATCAATGAGCTAACTTGAGAAAATGGTATGTATCTTTGCCGAAGTCTACCACCTGTTACAATACGTAATACAATATCAACATACAAGTTGCTATGTCAGACATGTTGTAGCGTCATCAGGAAGACAGAGGCAATGATGATGTATTGTACATATGTATGGAAGCATGCAATTTTATTATGAACGTGTGCTAAGCTGGGGAAAAAATTACAAACCATTGTCTATTCTAGAATATTGGTTAAGTCTGACATGTCTGACATAGCAACTTATATGTTGCTATTGTTTGTGGTATTGTAACATGTGGTCAACTTTTGCAAAGTTACATGCCACTTTCTCAAGTTGGCTCATTGATGACTGACAGATGATGTCACAATGGGAATGGGAGGTTTTGGGGGTGGAACTTACCAAGTTTGAAAAACAAATATTTCAAAAAATATTTTAAAACCCATGAAACAAATTCAGAAGTTTATATATCAAAATATGAGATGTATGCAGGACTGCACACAAACAGGAATACACTTGTATTTCGATGACATGGGCCCTTTAAGGACTTATTTCATATACTGTAGGCATACATGTAGCCACTTACTTCACCTGGGTCGAGTGCCGCAAATGTACATTAATGTCCTGTCCTGCTTTAGGGATTCGAAACAAGTATGTTGCGATCCACCAGACCAAAACCCTTTATGTGTTGTGATCTAATATACCAAATGTCATACAAAACATACAAAAAAGTCACAGTCTCCTAAAACAGCAAATACAATTTTGAAAACAGAAATAACTCGAGCACCATCTATTTCTCAAATATTTTTTTTTTTTAAATAACGTTTTTGTCAGCATCGCTACATGCCAAGTGTTTCATATTCATTCCCTCCTCCTAAAAACAATTCATCCGAAACCGGATCGCCAGGTTTGTAGGAAACTGAACAGACGTTGTCCGGTTCCAAGTATACAGCGGGTTCCTGGTACACTGGCTCGCCTAAACTGTCCGCGTACGGTCCGTCTGGCATGGCGATCCTCTGGGCTTCTTTGCGTTGCACGCTCAAGCTCTGGTAACCGTTGCCCCCGTCGTTCTTGCGTTCGCTTAGCGTCATGTAGGGAGGGGCGTTTATGGTTTGATCGTTGCCTAGAGGTGTTTCAAGCTTGCCAGAAATGTTGTACGTTATTCTCGACCTGGAATTATATAAATTAACTGCCTTATTTACATTTATGAGAATATTTGTTGGAAAAAATTCAGTTTATATCCATTCATACAAAGGCTAATAAAAATACTCAGCAAAGAAAAAGAAAAAGAAAAAAGTGCACGAAATTTACAATTTATATTTATATAACTTATCTTGTATTTATCTAATGAACATAAATTAATATTCTTTAAAGCCTATCTGCTTTAGTTTGGCCAAGAGGTTTATAGCTCCCTTCATGGTCACTGGCAGGTGATTATCTCATCAAATCAGCTGTCAATTAACATAAGAAAAAGGGGATCATGGGGACCAACGGGTACCGATTACGCAGTGTTGGCTGTATGGAGGGCGCAATTAGCTACAAGTAGTGCAGTCCTGCTTTAAGATGATACGCAATTGGAATCATATCGTTCATGTATGAGTGAGCATAGCCATTAAAGTATGAATGAAAATTGCCGAATTGGGGCACCTCGTATATAAATATTGATGATTATTTCTATCTAACTTGTAGAGTCAGTTTTAAAACAACGAAAAACAAACTATCAAGGGGGAGGAGAGTCATCTTTACCGTGCTTGTTAGAACCATGCAGTTCTTTGATGACTGTTGACATCAAGAGCTCAATTTCGAACTCACAATCATGAAAGGTAAAAATATATAATCAGTTATTTCGCAAAAACTAGAACGCAAGAGAGTCTATATCCGGGCAAGAAACGTCAGCCCCTGGCAAAATTGTACCAGTATTAAAGCCTACTAGAGTAAAATAATACGTACCGCAATCTGCAGTTCCAGATGAGACAGCCCAATACTATAACAATGCAAAAGAATAACAGCGCCCCCAAGATGTATACAATTATCATCATCATTCCATCTGCAAATTGAAAGGTAAAGTAAAAGTTTCGTTTGAGACGTTGAGCAAAACGTCCATTGATAAATAAGACGGAAACACAATTAAAGAAAAAAGTAATTGAGTAGTCAGTACTCTGTAATCAAGGTAACCGCATAGAAAATATTTCCGAATTTTTCGATTATACTCCAATTACATGGATAAGCATAATGACAATAATGAGAGTAATGATGAAATAACATTAAGTTGTAATGTAAATAATACAACTATTTCGAATAATTATAATAATAATAATAATAACAATACAATAACGATAATTGATAAACTGGATTAAAGCAGCGCTTAAGACAAAATTTTGTCTCCAAGCGCTTGATAGATGTTATTACCCCGGTCATCAGATTCATTTGCACACTATATGCACCATCTTCACTCCTTGGGGAGTCTTCCTACATGTACCATAAGGTCACCGTGAGGCAGTTACTAACACAAGGGATTTCGTCATTCTACAAGGTCCCTATTTCTCTCCTAGATATAGAGTCGCAAATGTAGTTTAAAGACTTGTCAAATGACATTAGTGCCGTTTCTGAGATTTAATCCACGACCTCTGCATTTCAAGCCAAACCACTCGACTAAGACATTCCGTACAATTTACTTAAAAGACAATCGTTATGTATGCCCATGGTAGCCTCATCCTTCATCAATAGTATTAGTTAAGTTTTTATCGACAGCCTTAACAAGATCAGATGTTCAAGCATTCAAAGAATCTTTTCCTCCCGGCTACCCATTTAAATCGTCTTGGTTGATAGTAGCAAACGTATATTAATGACTTGCCCACGGATATTGGTGCCAAAGCAGGGATTCTAGTCCGGTTATGTATCCCCTGTACCACGACACCTTCACATGAATAACCCTGATAGAAGTTACATCTCTATTCACAAACCTGACAGACTGCCTTTGAATCCTTCGGAAATCTTGGTAGGTGCCACTTCAGTTGATGATGTTGAGCTTGGAGACATCATGGTTGTATTCCTACCAGGACTGGTTCCCTCTAGAGGATTGGGTGTTCTTGCCGACGATGTTCGGGTAGTTGGCATGGTAACAGTCGTTGGAGTGGCTGTATGGATGGATGATAATCAACATCATCAGCATCATCATTTTGATCGCGCACATATTTATTTTATTTTATTCACGCTGAAGACAGCTACAAAACCTGGTTCTAGCCGACTTTCCAGAAGCCCCGAACAGTATTACAGTCATGCAATGAATTATATTTTACCAGAACACCCATTACTTCACTTCGGCCCCGTCTTAAATAGAGTTGCGATTGATCCAAGTAAATCGCAAGTCCTTTAATCAATCGCAAACATACTCAAAACTATATTTTGTACATTATCGCCATTAGCATTATCATCACAATAATCTCCATCGCCATCGTCATTGTCGTTGTCATCTGAGCTAGAGTCGCTGTTCGACCGGTGTGTTGGCTCAGTCAGTAGAGCGTCCGCCTCTCAACCGGGAGGTCGTGGGTTCAAACCCCGGCCGCGTCATACCAAAAGACGTTAAAAGACGGGAGTTGCTGCTACCTTGTTTGGCGTTCAACATTAAAGGGATAGAGCAACGTCGATCTGGCGCTGCTCAGTGGCTGCCGGGCTCACGATCAATTGGGCAAAAAGAATTTCCATTTTCGGTTTAATAAAATTTGGAGTGGACTTATTATTATTATTATTATTATTAAATAAAAACAATCCCTATCCTTCATGGTATAAATTACCTGTTATATGTACGGCCATTTTTGCAATTCCTCCGCAGGTTTCTAAGTTGTTCCCCGCACATGTGTGTCGGCATTCTGCGTCGCTAAAGTGACCGTACTGTATATAATCTGAATCAGCATCCCCACAGTAGCATTCAGAACCCAGCTCCAGGCCCGCGTATTCAAAATCGCGGAGTCTACAGAAGGAAATACAGTCGCTGGTCGTCATCGCCGTCGAATCGACGTACGATGTCCCCGTGAGTAATCGTGACAGCGGGTTATCTGCATAACAGCCAAGATAAGATGGTCCTGCAGGATAAATTACAATTCGTTGGTAATCACTGATCTGATGAAATGATGATAAACAAAGGTGAAATACTTGAACTGTTGATGAAAACATCACTAAGCTTTTGATTTATAAATATTGCCTAAAATAATTTCCAAAAGTCTAAACTGGAGTGAATGTTATGTTAGATTTGTTTTTAATTTAGAACTTCGTGCCTAAAACCGTGTAAAACTTTACTTACGTGACAATAATGTAAGCAACACCGTAGTCAGTCCAACCCCCTGCCCACACAACATTTTCCGTGACTAGGCGTGATTAGCTATACCGTTTCGCGATAGTTATACAGTTTCGCGATAGTTTTACGATGAAATTGTGTGTGTGTGTGGACGCTCACTAACGATACGTCGTATAGCGAAACGTCGTATAACGAAATGCAGGTTTAGGCATCGTTTCGAACTAGAACTCAATAAAGAATCACGCCTAATCACGCCTAATCACGGAAGGTGTTGTCTAACTGGGCGGGGCTTATCGTGACCTCGAGCGAAAGGAGACCAGACCTCTCATTTCCGCTTCCATTTCATGACCGCAGTATACGACATTTCGCTGTAGAGTTTCAGGATTGCTTTCTTCTGTGTGTGGACATCCTGGAATTTATACGATGATTATCTATACGACGTTTCTTGTGTGTGGACACTCTGAAATTTATACGATGATTCTTTATACGACGTTTCGTTATAGAGTTTCGGGATAAATTGTTTTGTGTGTGGACACGCTGTACGACAAGTAAGTTCTTTGCTCACCTTGACACACTGCTCCTGCTGCGTTTGAACTGCCAAAGCAACTCTGTGACGACATCTGACAATCGTCCAAATTGTTTTCATCTTTTTAAAGAAAAGAAAGAAAATCAATGATCAAGAAGAGACTCCTTACCACAATGTTTGTTTCCGTATAGAGCAAATTAAAAAAATGAGAAGGAGTTGCATGTGTGCGGACCGTGTAGGTGTTGTAAGTGTGTGTGTGGGGGATGATCTGGCTTTTGTGGACGGGTGTGTGGGTGGAAGTGTGGGTATTGGTGTGGATGGATGTGGGTTTTGGTGTGTGTGAAGATTAAGAGTGTGGTTTAGTAGCATGACACGACACAGACTGAATTAAAGATGGAAAGGAGAGAAGGAAGCGAGAGGGGAGTTATATACAGAGGCTGATCCCGTTCTTGGAAATGGGGAGGTATTACCAAGAACAGGGAGAACTATAGTGAAAATCTGTCATTTTGAAGTTTAAGGGTAACTTTATTGAGAAGAAAAGGTCACCTAATTTTATTTTTGGTCATGGTAAATATTTCGTTTTATCTATCCAAACAAGTATCGCCATCCCCAGATTAATAGTTCTCATTTCATACAAATATTTATAAACATTATGAATCAATAAATGTGATCACGCAAATTTTTCATTAACAATTTACACATTATTGTTATAGAAAGTTATAGAAAATGATAGAAAACAGGACTTCTCGCAATAAATCAATAATATGACATGGTGTTGAAAATTAAGATTTGTTTTAAAAGTTTTTAATCAGTGGCTAAACAGCAATGACTATTCTAATTTTTTACTAAAAACTAATGTCCTCTATCAAGAAAAAATAATTCACGTTTCCAAATGCCCTGGTTTATTATTGGCAATATATGAAATATGTATTGTGTTATAGTGCTTTCAGGTAAAAAGATTGGAAAGGCTGCTTATTCTTGTCTGTGTGATGAAGCTACGCCCTTTGGTTTTGTGTTTAAAGCAAGGGCTAGTTGTGACCCCCACCACATCAGTGTCAGGTTCTGTCTATAGAAAGATGGCATGATTAGCTAGCGTAACATTTTTAAACAGTATGACCACGGCCATCGTGGTATTGACTATTGAGCCTTCTGTGAGCCACGACAAAGGAAGAGAGTTGTCCACATATATGGTCCTTACTTCCTTTACAATTGATATTCTTCTTGTAGATGGGGGCTGTCCCCGAGCCAAACTGGGACCTCGTGAGTTCCATTTGAGCCCCGGTAAAACCGAGCTGTCGACACGTCACTATGACGTCATTCATGTTCCACGAGCTCCCGCAAATTGTGTTCCATCCAATGCCCTCAACGTTGACCTCGATTCGGCCGCTAGTCGGGGAATCCCCATCTTGTAGCCTAACATCTGTGATCATGTAAGAAACACAAGGTCAAAGAATAGATAAACGATTAAACTTGTTGGTTAAACAAATGAGACTTGTTAGTAATCATTTTCAATTGATGTTAAAAATAAACTGAACTGACGGCCAGGTCCATCAAATTAAGTATTACGAATAACATACCTGGTAACCAGAAAGTCAATATGATGGCAAATAACCTGCAGAAATTTCCTGTACAAGAAATGTTAACATCACATTATCTAAATTTCCTGCTAATTTTCTTATTTTACCCTTTACAAATTTGATTGGTATCCCTGTATAACATAATTTTACTTGCAAATATCCAACAAAAACAAGTAATCAATACTGAAACGAATTAAAACACAGAACTATAATTATTGCACTTTTTTTGCTGATTTCTTATGGCTTGGCGACAAACAATATTCTTCAGTTCGCTCCTCTCTGACGAGTGTTGTGGTGAATCCTGTCCCTTGGATTTAGGGTAGAAACAATAAACTGATTATTACTGGCGCGCTTGGTCTCTTTCACACCAAAAGAAAGAGCAATAATGATTGTAATGACCATATCTGCACACTATTGATAGCAGTGTTTATATTGCTAAGATGTGCACATCTATACTACACAGTGTCACTGTGATATGTCTACATGTTCACTGTAGCCATAGTGTGTTGCACCGCATGGCTGTGTGTGAACACAGTCTGTGTAATTTATTTGACGTCATGGCATGAACATGTTTCTATATATATAATCAAAAGTGAAATCCCATTCTGATTTAATAGCAGCTATATTTTGTCACACTGCGTCGTCCTGTAAACACAGTGTGTGGAATGAATACCACGAAAAAACGTGTTTCGTATGCCGTTTAAAATCCCCTCGTTTCCTTGTCCCAAGATTTTCTAGAAGTTAATATTGATCTGGCCAGAATCTGTAGCTAGCAATCAAACTTGGGTCATAATGTTCGTGACGTCTACACGAAATGACGTCGCAAAAATCACCCCTCGATTTTACTCAACGGATGCCCATTTTCTAAGCCCTCCACTTCAAAGGTTACGAATGCTATTACTCCACTCGTAGGCAATACAATCCCAATAAGTTTGTATTGTTGTATTCAATGAATAACAAGCTCTCCGTATATATATAATTTGTCTATTTCATTTTTGGCCTTGCATGGGGTCTTTAAGCTTCCGTAATATACTGACACTTACTGGCACTCCGGAAACTACTGGTCAAGCTCAATCGGGTTTTAAACCTGGACTAAGGTTAGTCCTCATGAATACCGGCATGTGATCTTTCCGGTGAGATTGGATGGGATTCAGAGTATTCTGGATTACCCACACTAATAACTATTGTAACATCTCATTATGTATACGACAACACGTACATCATTATGGGAGACACCATGAACAATAATCTCGTTTCCGTATTTGCGATTATTTGGCGGAAACCGGAACCGATTAGAGGTTGCTATTCTCCCATGTACAAAAGGTATATATGAATTGATTCAGACTTCAGTTAATACACGATGCTATGTAATTGATGGTTGTTTACCCGTAATCCTAAACTGGAAATAAAGGGAAAGATCAGATTTTAACCGAGCAATTGATGTTTCTAGTCCATTTTATGCTTACCCATACATGTACATTAGGCCCACAAATATGTAAGTCACCTTTATATATTTATAATTATTATAATTCTCCCTTTTAACCCGTGATTGTCACCTCGAAAATATCGACGACATAATTTTTTTTTTCTTTCAAATATTTCAAGAAAGAAATAATTCCATCTTTGATAAGAAAGAATTGGCCGTATTAATTCGTGATATTGATGTCGTATATATTTCCGATCGTTTACTTTTGACTACATTGCACCATTGCATTGCATATGCATACATTGTAAAGCGTGTAATGTCAGTTTTTTTTATTATAATCATTTTTGAATAACCGTCACAACTTTCATATCATTATTATTTTGTATGCTTTAATATATTGTCACCATCAGGTAACTATACATTTGACAATACCTCCTCTAATGCACTACAGGAACGTTTTTTGTCAGTAATTTTTGTTTGAGAGGGTTTACTTGTAGCAGATTATGCACCATTCAGAATACAGTGTATGTTGACAGATATTCAATTAAATGGTGTTTTTACTTGTATACGTCCCCAAAGAAGTAGTGACAGAGAAATGATAATGCAAAGAATAAATATGATCTGAATGTGGACAAACAAGCAAAAAAATGTAATATCTATGGTGGTATAGCTAGTCCAAACTTAAACTGGTCGTATTACGATGTATCAATAGGTAAGTAATCAAAGTAAGGGACTTAATAACTTTATAACGGGACAGCAAACTATCAATCAAATTGATTGGAAATTTCACAACAATTGTTAACGTTTTATCGTTAAAAGTTTTAAAAGTAAATCATAAAAAACACATAGACATACGATTTATGCCTATTACATTTACAAGACATGGATAAGTGCTTTGTCTACACATCATTTTCGCACTTCATGGCACTCCTTGCAGCTACTAGCCCAAGTGCTGCCCAACCTACCATCCCAGTATAGCTTCCGGAGTGAGCTGCTACATAGATTACTCCATCAAGTGTTAAGTTTCAACATGAAGGTGATGTTAATGTTTTAGAAATTTGAGTAGTTCTTACCAAGAATTGTTGCACTTGAGCAAATCCACGATATGGCAAACATCATCGCCTTTATACCTGATAGATCCATGTTCATTAATGTACTCTTTCAACTGCAAGGATTACTTCAGCCTGTTCAACTTATATATTCCTTATAGAGCTGCTTGGTAACGAGAGCATCTTATGAAAGCGAATCGAGACCACCTCTATTTTCTCTTACCGATAAGATAGAAGTGAAACAATGAGAGTTAAGACGAAAGTAAAACCGCTCGCTTTTTTAATGTTATGCATGCAAAATAACGAAGTCATCCCACACATGCATGGAAATGCATAAAATGTTCACAATAGACGCACGTTCAAGGTCTGGTAGAATTCTGTTACTTTCTCTGACGTATAGAAACTACACCATTGTGACGTATGTTTGACGAGTGTCTGAGTATAACGATCAACTAGTACCAAAAAAAAAAACAATGACCCACCGGATACTAGTTCATGTGAGAATCGAACTCATCGAAGGGAATATAGGTAGAACGACTATTGAGTTCTATCTGTGATCACATTTCACTGAAAACTTACACCTTAGACTCAAAAGCTTTTCTCCAAAATTGTCCTCTTGTCGACTATAAAATAGACCTTTGCGGTCCTGGCAGTTCGTATCGTAAGCCACTGGTCACCGAAATAAGATTGTATTCCTCATATCCCTGGTGACTTCGCGATCCGCCTCAACGACGCAGGCAATCTGGACGCTTGGTAAGGGAGTATGTGCTGGTCCATGAGGTCCTGATATATTTCAGAAGGATTATAATGTACCGTCTATCATCCGTGTTCATCACATTCCGTGTATAACTTGAAAGAGGAAATATATTCCTAATCTACCAATACGGTGTTCATAAAAAAAAAACCTGCGGTAGCGCTATTAAAGCGAATACATACAATACCACCACAATACATGGAACTCCTTCAGCGGCCCTGGCCTACTGCTTCCGAACAATAACATATCCAGATACACCGAGCAGGGTTTGCCTCCTGTTGAGTGCAAAAGGTAAAGCTTGGGTATTTGTTCACTTTCCACCTATTGTGATGATTCGCCCACATGTACAAACAGAACGGCGACAGAGTATACCGAGCAAATCATGAAAGAAGCTAGTGGAGCTCGTTTGAACTCTTGCGTCTGTCAATTAAAATGCCGGGTTCATAATACATCGCCGCACGGTTGAATGACGTTGAACCCAATGAATGCATGGATATGGCCTTTAAATGCTCAATCCATGACCCAATCTTGTCCTCTCGTTCATATACACCCCAATTTCTCTCACTTCCTTTGTTTAAATCTGATAGTTTTGCAAACATTATCTGCATGTTCTCGAACTTAACTCTAAGTAGGACTTAATCATTATGGAGAGCCGTTTGTAGCTTTAAATTAAAATATATTTAAAAGCAAACCTTCAAGTATTTTACATTTGTTATAAATTCCACATTAAGAACATGAAATCTCCTACATGATAGAAAATATAAATGCATGGAATCAACATTTTATGCCTTGTAAAATAACTTTTACAAAATACTTTCCAAGATGCTCACGGCTTTCCATAATTGTTAAGTCGAACTTACAGATACGTACAACTTAAGATCTTTGTAAAACACCTCCAAGCATTCCCAAGTACCCATGTTACATCTGGATCGAGGGGTACAGAAATATGGACAAAATATCTTGTCCAAAGATGTTAAAGCACCGAGGGAGGTTCGAAGCCAGAACATCTCGAAAGAGGGTCAACGAGCCTTCACCAATGTTACGTGTCATAGCAGGATGAGCACATATCAACCCCTGTATTGTGCTATTGTAGTGGTTTTTATTTAATACCTGACTGCTAAGTAAGCATAAATGCTTGCTAGTAGGCAACCAGAGGACCGACGGCTTAAGGTCCTCTCCGAGAGACCTGGTAATGAGGATTAATGCCTTATTAACGAGCACAAGCGAATCGAATCGTCTTGGTTTCAAACCCGGGTCACCGGATTACGAGACCACTGTTCTACCGCCTGTGATAAAATGGCGCCCTTGAGTTGGCCTTGCTTGAATTCAGAGGAATACTAGCTCTTAACATGAGACACCATTTAATCAGGTTCCCACGCCTGATTGGTCGAGTACTAGCTAATGATGAAAATGATGAAAATATTTCTAAAAATAATGTGATCTCAAAGTGGCTGGAATCCATTTACTTTATCATGTAATGTTCAATCTTTCAACTCGAACTTTTGTAAATGCTACTTCGATCGTCAGCAAAGCTGATTCCCATATCCCAAACAATTAATCGGTATACAGAGTCAAGATTATGAAAAATTAAGTAGCTTTTATTCGTTAAAAAAATAATATGTATGGTATATTAATTTGGTTGTGGATCTGGAAAATAAGAGAGGCCTTGATTTTTTATTTTGAATTGTGATTTCGTTCATTAAGACTATGAATTATCATTCATGATATTTGGTCCAGAATACAATAGTAATATACCTCATGTATACTAATAGCTATTCTTTGTAATATCGTTGGAAAGAATACCCCCCCCCCCCCACACACACACACGCACACACACACACACACACACTTCCTTTATTATTAATTTCGATAAAACTTGTTTCATTCTTCAAGTTCTTTGCTCTCTCTCTCTCCCTCGCTCATTCCATCTCTCTCACCTTGGACCTACTGTTTTCTCTCTCTCTGCTTCTCCCTCTCTTTTCTCTCTCTCTCTCTCTCTCTCTCTCTCTCTCTCTCTCTAGATATATGTCAGTCTCCCCTCGGTCTCTTCCCTTCATTTTCTCCTACCCCAGAGTATGTGCTTTAAAGAGGCAAAAAGAAAGAGTGATAGATAGAGAGGGAGAGAGAGAGAGAGAGAGAGAGAAAGAGAGAGCGAGAGGGCAATGTATATATACAAATAGAGAGAGAGAGAGAGAGAGAGAGAGAGAGAGAGAGAGAGAGATGGAGTTGGAGGAGAAAAGAAGGAAAGACGGAAAGTACCCAAAATATGGTCCCAAAAACAAGTTTATAAATCATTAATACATACAAAACAAAGCATATTCAGACATCTAAAATACTTAGAATTTTATATTTCCACAATGTTATAGTATAAAGCACTGCAACTGTTATCCTCTGCGTAATGGCAATTCCATGTAGGCTACTTGTCTTCACTTTATTATTGCATTTTGAAGGAATCGTTTAACAATATAAAATATGAGATGCATGGTGCTACGTTCTATCAGGGTCTCTGATATGGTGTATTATTGAAGCCCTACAAAATTGCGCTTCGAAATGATCATGTAGTATAATAAAAACCGTTAGGAAAACGAATTTTGAAATTACGATTTCCAATCATAAATATCTTGATAATCAGACACGCGATTGGCTTGTAAAAGTGGGGTCCCTGACTGAACTCAAAGTTTATAATCACCATTGCAGGGTTTGTTTTAGAATCCGAGACAAAGATACCCAATCCCTTTGATGAACGATTGCACATAATTATTATATCAAAGTCATTCAAGTAACACACTATTTCCCATAAGATGTTAAGGCATCTGCTTTGTGGGTAAATGGTTGATAATCGATTCATACATTCATCAATATCCAACAGTAATCACAAAAGAGAATATCTCTACAGGATAGCCTTACTTTCGAAGGGGGGAATGGAAATCCACTCCATAGCACTGCTATCATTCGAATGTTGTGGTACAGTGTGTATAATGAATAGCCTGATGTAAACAAATATGGTTATTTCAGAGGTCAACATCATTATAATGACAATTATAGATACAGTTAAATGGGTTTATATATTTACGGGGAAGGTGAACAAAAATCACCTAGTTACATGTAGTTGCGTCCTATGACATATGCTACATGTACACATACATTTGGTCAGCCAAGTAAATAATTTCTCTAAAATAAAATGGAATAACATGGAAAATGTACATTTATGAAAGCGCAAGTATATTGTACAGTACCAGATTATAAAATCATATGCAATGTCGTGTACACAAAACTAACCTTTTAATATTCTTATTGATGTCATATTAGTTGCAGATCAATACAAAATTTCTATATTCCTTTTAAGTCACTTTTTGCACTTCTTTTATACATATTTGCGTTGAAACATTAAGATACATGATACATGAATAAGAAAAATATAAAATATTCGAAATGACATGAATCATCATCACTAAAAGTTTTGCAAGGAGCAAACCATATGTACAAGCAAGGGAATTATATTCCACCGAAGGAAATTATTAGATAATTATGGCATATTTTACGCCACAATTTCTGGGCGTGGTTCCAATACATTTTCGTTTAAATGGTCTACATACATAACTTCAACTCCTCTTTTGACAAATCTCATAATGATATACAATTTTGGCAAAAATCTTCCATCCAAAACATTTTTGTTGTAATATCAATTCGAGTGTACTATTACTTAACAATTCAGAAAATATGCTCAGCTAGATACACCTCTCTCTCTCTCTCTCTCTCTCTCTCTTTCTCTCTCTCTCTCTCTTCTCTCGAAAACCGCTACTGTGTTTAGAAGAACCGTTAGATCTTACTTAGGGTCATCAAACTGCTAAATCATGCTCATTGGCGAAGCCACATGCCAATTCCTTATAAAAACAGTGCGAGAGCAGCGAAAATTGACGCTGCAGCAACACTGATCGGCGACGTTGCGATCGATGGCCCACCTCCACCTGTGCTGCCATCATCCATGGTCGTTGTGCTGCCAACAATCGTTGCCGTTGTGCTGCCATCATCCGCGGTCGTTGTGCTGCCATCATTAGTGGTCGCTTTTTGTGACGTCATGTTCTCGTCACCATCCACCAGATGGATTTTCCAGCCGAGGAAGCGATGGGTGTAGCACTGCAAATTCAAAAGTTTATGATAACTATTCATGAGTGAGGATACATGACGTGCAAATGAACACAATTAAAGGGATCGTTTAACAATGTTAAATCTGAGATACACGGCCCTACGCGTTATCAGTGTCTGTGATATGGTGTAATATTGAAGCCCTAAAAAAATTGCGCTTCAAAATGATCAAGAAGTGCCTCAAAAAAGTAAAAATCTTTGAGTGACCGGTTTTACCATACTCTTTTTCCCCAATAGACTGTAGTGTTATGAAAACCGTCAGGCGAACGGTTTTCAAAATTTGTAATTCCAATCATAAATATCTTGATAATCAGACAAGCGATCGGCTTGTAAAAGTCATGGGGTTCCTGACTGACCTAAAGGTTTATAATTATCATTGCATCATGAGCTAAATCCAGAATTTTGTTTCAGAATCTGAGACAAAGTTACCGGATCCCTTTAATGCATGATTGAGGATAGAAATGTAGTTTTGCAGTATAGACCTTCCCAATCATGACATATGCGAGTCATCCATTTCTACAACGTTTCAAAAAGAAAATATTATTAGCCATGTGCGTGCTAACATGATGCAGTTGCCCGCCTATAAAACCCGATGCAGTAAAATTGAATTACATAATATGCCCAAAGTTAAAATACTTCATTTCTGTAAACCTGACATGTGCTTAATAGCATTGTTTAACAATGTTAAATCTGAGATGCATGGCCCTACGTGTTATTAGTGTCTGTGATGTGGTGTAACATTGAAGCCCCCCCCCCCCCCCCAAAAAAAAAAAAAAAAAAAAAAAAAAAAAAAAATGCGCTTCAAAATAATCATGAAGTGCCTTAAATGAGTAAACAAATCTTTGAGTGACCAGTATTACCATACACATTTTCCCTAATATACTGTAGTGTTATGAAAACTGAATACGGAAGATTTGATTTCGATTTACAATCATAAATATCTTGATAATAAGATTGGCGATCGGCTTGTAGGGATTGCATGAGCTATATCTAGGATTTTGTTTCAGATTCTGGGACAATGTCACCGAGTCACTTTAAGCGCTAGCTAGCAATGCTTAACAAGTGCCATCTCAATACCCGTTCTTCCACCGTTTCTTTCAGTTTCGTTTTCATTATATCATATTTCTTTATTATCATCCATTCTCCCAACAACAATCCTCCGGTCAGAGCCGGAAGGTCGTTAAGTATATATTTCAAAAGCGTATAGTGTTTTTTTTATGGATTTGTATTGAAATAAAACTTATAAGAGTTAACGATGTTTTGGCTATCAGCCAGATTCATCATTCTTACGTGATAGTACAAGAGATCAGGGGCGTCCATTGGTACGGTCCACACGAGTTCGCCAGGCTCACCGGGCTGGCAAACAACAGTCAATTTGTTTTTGTAGTCTTCGAATGACGTGTAGAGATCAGGGCTTCCAGTATCACTAGTGCTAGTCCATTGGCAAAGTGGGCCCTCTACATATTTGTTCATAAAGAGTCAGCGATGAATTTTATAATACGAATGCGAAGAAGAATTGGAGAAGCAATAGGGAAAATAATGAGACGTAAAATGATAATTATGGGGATGACGACGATAACGATGACGATGATGATGACGATTATGGTGTGGAAGAAAGGAGAACTCTTATTAAGAATAAATAAGTAATGGAGAAGAAAATGGGAAAGTTTAGATGAAAAGAAAGAAAATGGAAAAGTTTAATTGAAAATAAAGAAAATGGGACAGTTTAAATGAAAAGAAAGAAAATGGGAAAGTTTAAATGAAAAGAAAAAAGTAACGGAACATTAATGTGAAGAAGAAGGAGGCGATGAAGGAGGGATGAGGAGAATAAAAAATAGCACGTCTTTTCAAATACTATGCACCATTCTTACTAACCAGAAGCTGTTAAGGAAATGCTTGAATAATAAGTCATTGCCTTTGGTTAGAAGACAAAATCACAGATGATTAATCTAGGTTTAGTGCCATTTATACGAAAAAAGGGAGAATAAAAGACAAACATTCTCAGACTATTCTGATGGCAACTACATTATTCATACCCTAGCTAAGTTTTGTAATTGTTTAAGCATGTGAAAAATTGAGTTTTACCAACTTAGTATGTTCCTTGAGAGTGTAATATATAAAAGCTTATATCTCAAAGCATTTTAAAAAGGCTCTAATTCAACCAGTCCAATTTTCATTCTTGAGTTGCGAAAAAAAAACACCAAATTTACAAGGGATATGAATAGTTTAGTTGTTGAATGTATATTCACGAATATTCATCAGGCCGCTTTGAAAGACAAAGGAAAGACGTCAGATTTGTTTGAAAATTGCTTTTAAAAGATCAAGAAAATCTTACCTTCCGGCCCCGCGTAGATCGTGATAGCCTGTTAAAGATTAAAGTAGAGAAGTAACAAAATAATAACAAGATTGATATATTTTTTTAATCAGTTAATATATATCTAATATGTATTGATTTTTCTTCATTCGCAATAATTCATGCCAAGGGGATCTTTCATCAAGCCTTAAAATTGGTCTTGGAATTGGCAATAAATTAAAATAAAATAAAATAAGACGGAGGAGAGAGTTTCACCAAAACCCGTGTCGGGATAGTTGCAACCATGGTGGGGACGCAAATTATACAACATGGATACGGTGAGTGACGCCGATGGCGCCCGGCCCCCCCCCCCCCCCCACTCAGTGTTATTTAGGGTACGCATATGCGTGTTCCAACCGACCCCCCCCCCCTTTTCAGCAAAAGTCCGGTGTGTAAAGTCAATACGGCTCGACCTTTTTCTTTTGTATACGAGCCTTTTTCAGCATCCCCCCCCCCCCCTTTTCAGCAAAAGTCCGGTGTGTAAAGTCAATACGGCTCGACCTTTTTCTTTTGTTACGAAAAGGACATTTTGGCAACACGCATGCGGTCATTTTGAAACCTGAGTGGGGGGGCCGGGCGATGGCGTAGCATAAGTTCACCTATAGACGGGGCACTAGAACAATTGAGGGGGGATCGCACCCGTCTTAATGTGAAAAAGAAATGCAATTTTACCAGGCTAACCGCTAGGGGTACTGTGTAGGACGCGGTCCAGTGGTGTTTCATCAAGCCTAATTTTAGATTTGATCTGCAAATAGATCCGACCGATTTTAATGGCCCCGAATTGATTACGATTTTGATATAAATAGTAAGACCTGAAACCGATTTAGGTTGATGAAACGCCAAAGGTACCATCTTTCTCGTCCCTTTCCTCTCTCTCTCCCTCTTCTCTCTCTCTCTCTCTCTCTCTCTCTCGTTATATCTTCCTTTCTCTATCTATAGTTTTCTTGAATGTTCTTAGAAGTATTTTAACAACATTTATATAATAATGACGTCATTTTCGACCCTCCTAGCTCATTAGTTCTTTGATTTTGATATGACCCCACTAGGGTTTCATTACCTGCTGTTCATCTTGCGGTAGTTGGGCGTAGCCTCCAGAAGGGTCATCGGTGATGTAGAATGGATGATAGTTAGCGCTCATCGATGGGACATCTCCTCCGCTCACTAAGAACGTGTAGGTTTTACCGCGTCTCAGAGTGAGCTCGGGAATAAGCTCACCGTTGATAAACCAAGCAATGCCCCAGCCAACGGATCCTATACCAAGACAAATATCTAGTTATCATGATGATGTAAAGGTTTTTTTTTTTATCTGGTTTTATCAGATTCTTGTCTACATTTTCTTGTACGGGGTTTTATATGTTGGATGGGCCTAACCGTATCAATTGTCTACACAAATAGCAAATTAAGGAAATAAATAAATATACAAATAAATCACATAAATAAGTAAATACATAAAATTATATACAAATTGATAGATAGGCAAATAAATACAAAAATAATGAATGAATAAATAAATGAATAAATGAATAAGCAAAAACATAAATGAATAACATAATAAATATAATACTGATATAACGATAAAATATAATAGAAACTAAATGAAAATGATAACAATTAGTTTTGATGGGATCGATTTTCTTTGTGGTGGTAATAATAGTGGATTTGAAGTAGTGGGTCGTGGTAATGGCGGTGTGAAGATTGATGACGATGATGACGATGATGATGATGATGATGATGATGATGATGATGTTTTAGGTGGTGGTGGCGATGAAAATGATATGACAAAGTGATAGCAATTATGAATATGACATTGTTAATAGGTGTATTGTACTCAAGAAAAAACGAAATACCAGTCTTAAAATGAATTTCGGGGTAGTTCTACAGTGTCAAGTTAGAGTTCAGTATTAGTGGAGAGTCTGGTCATGAGGTCTAAGGGGGGATAATCTGGCATTCCTTTCCTATTATACCACCACTGCATACACTATATCTACTTATTCTGAATTACCGGTGATGTAGTTGTACCCTTGCTGACCTCCTGTCAATCCCATCTCTACCGTGAACGTTGAATTTTCTGTCTCCACGATGCCCTCAATGGTCCAGCCCCCCTCCTCCTCCGAAGGTGTGGTGTCTGAGGGTTGCTAGGTGCGGTCGTAGTGTCACTCCCAGGAGCACACGTCGAGCTTACCCGATTAAAGTCAATCTGGAGATTCGAGGTACCTGGAAACAAGAGCAGAGCAGACGATACAAAAGGAGAGTTTTGATGAATATTCCGAGAATTATCATTAACAGTCAGACCGCAGCGTGCGCGATAATGAGGCTATACGCTGATTTTTATTCAGCGTCTCTTTGGTTATCTCGTACATTCACGTGTGCTGAAATTCACGAGATTTTCCGTGAGATTTGTAAGGGTGTACAAACAGCTGCTTTTGTGGTCGATAACTTATGTCAACATGGCAGCATGCAACGGTAATTACTCTCGAGATTCTCAGCTTCAGTTTGATATGAAACTTGCCATATTTCATAATTTTGAAACAATCCTTTTTCACCACTTTTATTGTAGTTATTTTTGTAACATTTCAACAGCTATTTTGTACCCGAAATTTCGCTTTTGGTTCCTGACTTTGGTACATAATTAATTTGTTTACTTTGAGATTCGTTGGAAAGATGAAAAGTCACTGATCAAAATAATGTCAAAACCTAATTGACGCAAAATCTTGTTCTTGTTATAATCATAGTAATTAAGACCCTAAAAATCCGGAAATTACCAATTTGTTCTTTCTATATGATGGCGCGAAATTGTATGATTTCATACTTGTGCACGCTCGCCGTTTGAGCAGTGGCAATGCATAACTTAATATTAAACTCCAGGGAGCTCCGCCGCGCCACCGACTGGCCGAAAAAAATAAGACAAATGATTAAAAAAGAAATAATGTATAAAAAAATTATGTTAAAGGCAGGTGACGTAATTGATCCAGGGTCCTCAGATTGTTGTCATGACTGCTTGCGCGCACGTGCATTACAGGCGCACGCCACAAGGAATGCTTAATCAAAATTGGTATTCAGAATGTTAATAAACCAAAGCGGAACATATGTGACGTAGTTGACGTATTTGGCCAATCAGAACGCTCTATTATCACATCGGTAAAGTTGACTACTTTTTTTAATTATTCATGAACATTCGCATGATTTTTCTTGGTTCCTGACTTTGGTACAGCGTAAAATATAATAATTTTGATATCATTGTAAAGAAAAATATTTATGCTTTATGCTGATTATAACATCTTCTTGACGCAAGAATGATTTCTATGTGAAAATCAACCCTACTCTTTAGATAGATTTATCATTTTCAAGGCGAAATATCTGTTTCCAAAATATATTTAACATGATTTTCATATAAGTATATAAAGAGTGCAACTTCTTATCTTTAAAATAAGCCGAATTTCATGAGAAATGAACAATTATAAAGGCAAAAACTGCTGATCGGGAAAACCGTCTGCACTACTCATTACGTATGCAAGACGCGTAAATTCTTGCATACGTGCTGAATAAAATAGAGGGTTTTCGCACCGGCTGCGGTCTGACTGAACATGATATCATTTCAATGCTCATCTTTGCTCTGTCGTGCTAGTAGTGTCGCTTACACTTGAAAAAAAACTATTAGACAGTGTCACCCAACCGCTGCTACATCATCATCGAGTAGCGTCCGTTTGCCCATGCTGTGTGGTTAGTCGTTTCATTTCCCTCAAATGCATGGTCCTTCACCAAACCTTCAGCATCCACCTTGGCGATGCTCTTTCCTATTCCTCTATAGTGCCTCGATCCTTCCAGGTTTTGCAAGGTCGGCCAGCTACTGTCTGGAGCTATTGGCTTCTTTCTCTCCTGCTATGACCTAGCCTATAATCTAGGCGGAGTGCCGAGCTTTTTTCTTTGCTGCTAGACTAACCCTAAGCAGAACGTCTGATACGGCGAGACTACGAACCGTGAGTCGCGAAGCGGCTCACCGCCTATAATCACTGGTCTAGCTTTAGTCGTTGTTTTTTTATTATCGACCTTGAATCCGTGCCAGTTTTCGTACGAAAAACTGCCACGGATTCAAGGTCGATAATAAAAAAAACAACGACTAAAGCTAGACCAGTGATTATAGGCGGTGCGCGGCTCACGGTTCGTAGTCTCGCCGTATCAGACGTTCTGCTTAAGGTTAGTCTAGCAGCAAAGGAAAAATCTCGGCACTCCGCCTAGATTATAGGCTAGCTATGACCACGCAGAAGCTGAACTTGGGTCAGATAAGAGCGAATGAATATCATCGGAAATTCCTTTGCTGTCAGCCTATCCCACTCTTGCCACCATAAAACGTTTGATATTACAGACAAACTGCACTTTCAATAGGTTATTTAATTAAATTATCTTGAAATTTACCCAAAACTTAATCTGCTGTTCGCTTGAATACATTTGTAGGCATTGACCTGAATCCTATGCAAGATCAAACCAAAAAGGGGAAGATGAATTTCATATGACATTACCTCCGAGCATGATAATCTACTTTGTAATTAGGCAATCGAGATTGAATCTTTGCATTTGGAATCAAAATATCTCTTCTACTTCTTCTTTTTCTTTTTCTTTTTTTTCCTTTCCTCTTCTTTGCTTCTTCAGTTCCTTTTGTAATTTACTACTTTCATGAAATTAATCCTACGACACATTTAAGCCTTGGAAGATCTCTCTCTCTCTCTCTCTCTCTCTGTACAGTCTAAACTTACGTACCCTCTTAATCTCTCCTCCCCGCCTGATCTCACTTAAAATCATAATATTCATCATCAGTAGCAATAGTTTAAACAAGGGCCATTCACTGACACCTACTCTCTTAGCTTAATATCTCCCCTTCTTTTGGATTTACCTGGAGAGCGCTGTGAGTGATAGGCGACGCGGCCGTCAGCGTTGATTAATCCTCGAGCCCATATTACGTAGGTAGGTTCTGTTGTCGAGATTGCTTTGTCGTAAGTCGCATCTGAAATAAGATTAATAATTATGTACATTATCAGTTACAAAGCGAGTTTATCTCATTTAAAGAGTCAACGTTATACAGACTTAGGACTGACCCGTTCTTAACGTGCAAAAACCCATTTTTCCGATGAGACATGAAGGATTAGTATATTGGTAGTGATCATACGATAACAATATTATTGTTACAGAAACTGTCTGAAAGAAGTGGGAAAGGTTGATTATATCGTACATAAGAATTTTGTATATTGTGAAGTTTTGGAATGACCAAAATAAAGGGGGACAAAATCAGTATTGAAAACTCCTGAGGATCCCATGCACTGCACAAAAAACGGGTACACGGGACTACCTACAAATGTTTGGCCGTAACCTTTCAGCAATTGTTGGTCATGTTTCGAATATGAGGGCACTATAGAATAGCCGTCGTGTTCGGGGTAAATTTATGCGATATTCTTTCAATGAAAAGGCTCACAAATTATTTTTCATCTTTACCAAAACTCAACCCTCTTTTCAAAGAATCTATCCCAGGCGTAGTGTGGGCCAACCGAACACAAAAACGAAATTTCAAACGTCCCATTGGTCGTCACCCATTCCCTAACAAGATACAAGACCACTATTGCTAAGACTTCAGAAAACGGCGGTATGCATATGGGTTCCGAGGTAGTCAACCTCTCTAGATCTTCCCAAATAAATTTGGGATTAATTTAATATGTTTATTTAGTGTAAGCTTCCCGTATATGCGTGATGTTAGGAGGTGCAGGGTGTTTGACCCCTATTTTGCTAAACATTATCCCAAAAATTGAAAAACCTCCGGGGTGGGGGGGGGGGGGGGGCTTGTCAAATATTAACATATCTGAGCCCTCAGCGAAATAATTATGTTCTGTCCCATATTTGCCCATGATCACCCACTCCAATTTTCTCACAACATCATCTTTGCGACGGACTAATAATGTAAACAACCAGAGAGCGTCACGCTTTATGAAACGAAAAGCATTTTCATTGTGTATAAACTTGACATGTTCCATATCATATAGGCGATCAGGGTCCTGTTTCATAAAACTTTGTATCTATAATAAATGCTAAATTTCTATGACAAATTTGCACTCAGCCAATCAGATGCCATGATTTCAGTAGCTTATAACAGTAGCTTTTAACTTGTTACTGGTATCAAGTTTTATGAAAAAGGGTCCTGATCCAAAGACATACCACTAGCTGCCAATGGTCTCCGATAAACGATATGGGTCATTCCATTATCAATCGATGATTCTACTAGCGTGACGTCATTGCTTGCCGAATTCGATGAGATGACGTCGGGGCACGCTCCAGCGCCATTTTGAGGAGAGCACTAGGAAAGAGAGACATGATCGATAGAGATAGTAGTTGTAAAGTCAAGGTGTTAAATCCGCACTGTCCTACTTGTAGCTACTTGCTACCTCTACATAGAAAACAATGCCTAATCGGTGACCATTGGTTCCCCATGATCCTCTTTTTCTTATGTTAATTGAGAGCTGAGTTGATGAGATAACCACTTGTCCATTGACCTTGCCGGGTTGTCTTATCCCTCCTTTAAACTAGTACAGATGGGGTTTAAAACATCTCAAGTGTTTGGGTCTGCAAAGCAGTAAGTGCATTACTACAGATACGCCTACATATTATATGGGTATGTTTTTTCACATTGTTATTTACGTGACTTACCATTAAAGTGATTATAAAATAAATATTTAAAGTCAGATAGAATTCAAGAATTTTAGAATATGATTTGTCGTAGGATGTTGTGCAAAAAAAATGAATGATTATTCAAGATTTTCTGGAGACTCAGAATCATAGGAGCTGACGTTACCAGTGACATGTACATCCCCTCGACCCACCCCCCCCCCCCCCCCCCCTGGATATGCATGGTAAGCACTGTACAAATGCAAAGGAATGCTTACTTGAGCCTGAGAGCCGAGGTAGTAATCAACGGCCTGTGCGACTCCGTTGCCGTCGACGAAGGTGACCACGACATCGCCACCCACCATCTGCGTGCTCGTGGGAGATCCACTCACGCCGAATGCAGTGTACGTCTCGACTTCGTTGGGTGTACTGTGACGGATAACGATGTCGGTCCCGTCAATAAACCAACAGACTTGAAGCTCACCCACGACCAGCGTTTCGCAATTGCAGAACCCCTGAAAAAAGGACATAGCCAGTATTTGTTGTAAAAAATCACACTTTATAAATGAGGTATATATTTTTTCTTTGCTGTAGGCATGTGGCGAAGCTTCTGGGGCTTGCATGGGAGAATAGCAAATTAATGGAGAAAATAAAGTAGAAGAAGAGAGGGAACAGCTGTGCCCCTGGTTAGATGAATCTGTGTTCATAATGGAATTCAAGTATTAACGATCATCATTCCTAACATCATTAATTAGAAAATAATGAAAGCGGCCTACCTTTAAAAAAAAGTTACATCAAAAACTTCCAACCGCCTATCTCAAGGGGTAAATGGACGACAGACAAAAGGAGGATAATTGAAAGAAAATGGAACACAGTGATAATGGAAGTATCTTATGCTTTTGAATGCTCCTTTTAGTTTGTTTCTCAATGATTAATATCATTTTCAAACCCCAAATCCCATAAAGGACATCAAACAAATAATTCCAACTGTAACTCCGACCAATCCTCGTTGGATAGGAAACTAGCAGATATTACATCTGGGTTATAAGGTGCCCCGACATAATTTATTCTCCGATATTTATTATTGCAAGGACAGTGGGCCAGTGTTAGGGTAAGAGTTAGGTTTAGATTAGGGTTAAGTATGATGTTTTGCCCAGAGTCGAAGTTGATAATTCGGGCGGTGTAGGATATTGAGCAATTATCCTTGAAACATGTGCCGCATGACCGATTTTGACGGTGCGCTGAATTTCCGTCTTACCATCGAGGGAGTCGTACCGGCTGTCGTCGTACCGGCCGTCGTCGTACCGGCTGTCGTTGTACTGACTGTCGTCGTCGTGATCGGTGCCGTTGTAGTAAGTGTCGCCAGCGGCAACGGTGGAATGTTGAGAACATTGAAATCAGGAATGTCAACATGGCCGAAGTCCTGTCTGAAGCGGACGCACCACAGTCCGATATGGCCAATGTCGGCTATAGTGATATTGTCGATGAGAGTCACGGTGACGGTTGCTCCAGAGTAACTTCTGATTACCTGCAAACTAAAGGAATATAATTATGATAAATTTACAACTAATATATTGTGTTTGGTTTCGATACCTGCATCATAATAAAAACAAAAGGCTTACAAATGATGATGATAATGACGACGATGATGATGATGATGATGATGATGATGATGGTAGTAACTTTTTGATAGTAGATTAATTTAGTCTTGGCAGAGGCGGTGTGCCTTTGTAATAAGTACATATCTCCCCTTCCAATAAGTGCATCTCTCTTGAGTGCTCCCTTTTTAGGCAGGAGAAGTGCCCCTTTCAAATATGATAAGTTCTCATTCTTGCTTTTTTTTTTATAAGTGTCCCTTTTCCTTTCGCCTATTTTGATATTCAAATTAATTTATAGGAACACACAACAATAGGTTCAATCAAAAATAACCAAGAACACAAGGCAACGAAGTAAAATAACGAAACAAAAGAAATCATCGACTAATTCCTCAAAAAGAAAACCGAATTCAGTAATAGGTTATCCTAATTAGCTGATGGTATAAAAACATAGATGATTTAAATCATTCAAAAAATCCTTCCCATGCCACTATGTCATAGAATGATGACAATATCTTACCTTCCTGTTTCATCTGGTATTCTGTAATCCTCATCATAGCTTGGTGTGTCACCTGGGCCAACCCAGAAGTAAGCGTCTGCAAAATTCAGGATTTATTTAATAATTTTCAAATAAAAGTTAACAGGGGTCTACTACAAGACTATAGGTCACCCCCCCCCCCCCGGCCCAGTAAGTATGCTTCTACAAAATACTGTTTGATGCATGCACTGGACTCTACAGGTTTCTTTCTGCGTTCAACCAATTGCACCTGTGGAATTTTCAACTCAGCCATAGATCCTGCTTCAGGCCTACACTTAAATAAAAGCCTATTCCTAAAAATTATCAATCACAACCCAATCACTAATCGTATACCTTGACGAAACAAGGCCCGGAGCAAATATTATGGCCTATAATATGGGCTCAGTAAACAATAACCATATATCAACCATTCGATCAACAGCTATGGAAACCAACACATATATCAATTAATATCGTTCTCTCCGTCAATTACTAACTGAATCGAATTATTGGTCAGCCGGTCAGTATTTTAGAAAAATACTCATATAGACTTTGTACTGAGGTGAAGCAAAAATTTATATGGTAGCTTACCCGGACCGAATCCATCGTAGTTGAGGTCTTCAAATCTTATTTTCTTGGGGTCGAGTACCACCACAGCGGCGGCCGATGTTCTGTGGACGAGTGGGGAGAATCCAAGAGCTCCAAGGTTGTAAGGGGAAGGTGGGACGAAAGCCGCTGGAAATATAACATGCCCAAAGTTGGCCTGCAAACGACCGGAAAATACTAGAAATTAAAACAAGGCTTGAGAAGTTGTGCTTACTTCTTTTATTGCTCCACTGCTAATGAAATGTAAGACAGTTTTCTCTGGGAAAATTATCAAATGAAAAAGGAACAAAATATTAGCTATACATGTTCAATTTCATGCATTATTGAGTCTTGCAGGAGGGCAGAGGGAGAAGTGGGAGTGGAGGGAAAGTGAGGGGAAGAGGGGAGGGGCGGGAAGATGGAGGAGAGAAGGAGGTGAAGGGGAGGGAGAAGAAGGGGAGGGGAGTGGAGGGGTAGAGAGGGAGGGGAGGCGAGAGGAGGGGAGAGGAGGGGGGAGAGAGTGGTGAGGTAGAACGGGAACAGAGGGGTGATAGGGGAGGGAGGGGAGGGAAAGGGGGAGGGAGGGGAGGGAAAGGGGGAGGGAGGGGAGGGAAAGGGGGAGGAAGGGGAGGGAAAGGGGAGGGAAAGGGGAGGGATGGGAGGGAAGGGGGAGGAAGGGGAGGGAAAGGGGAGGGAGGGGAGGGAAAGGGGGAGGGAGGGGAGGGAAAGGTTGAGGAAGGAGGGGGACAGGAGGGGGAAGGACGGAAGAGAAGGAGAGGGAGAGGAAGGAAGGGGAGGGGAGAGAGAGAGGGTACAGGGGTGCGGTAGAACGTGAATAGAGGGGAGGCGAGGGGAGGGATTTAATATACACAGTGTTGGGGGCACGTATAGGCCCTATACAGTACTAAGCATAACAAACTACATGTGCAGAGTTATAATTATACATATTCTGATACAAAGAAGATATATAGATAATTACCGCGAATCGTCGACACCAGACCGAGATCCAGGCGAGGTTTGAGACAGTTTTCGACGACGGAAGAGTCACAGTGATATCTACGTTGGAGTAGTAGCCCAGTTTTACCTCGCTTAAATGAAACAAGAACAAATATTTATGGATGTTTATGATCTAGTGTGAATACGTCACCGGACTGTGGATCACATGATTCGTGATTGGAGTCCCACCGCTGCACTCATGTCCTTTGGCTTGACATTAATCTACATTATGTTGCCACACACGACTCAGGTGAGTTAAAAGAGTACCTGGCAGAAATCAATTCCTTGAAACGCTAGAGGGCCATAATGGCAGGCATGCTTAAGCCGGTGTTATAATTCTGGAGTGCCAGGAGTGCATTGTCCGACAGACATGAGCGCTACACAAGAACTCACTTTTTTATAAATTGTATTTAGTCGTACCCTAAGAAATGTTAGGATTACAAAAGTTTAGTTGAAACAATATCGGGCAATCACTGTATATCATTATAAAAAAGAGACATGAATGCCAATCGAATTGAATTGATCTTGCTTAAAGATAAAAGGAAACATAACAAATGGCATGAAACAATTTAGATTTTACAAAGAAGCAAAAGCGTCGATTAAGATGCTCTATATTAACGATAGAATTCCCAATTCCCAAATGACAAATAATGTAATAATAATAAGGAAAAGAGATACTTTGGCAAAACAGAGAGCTTCTAACTTCCTACAGATGTCTTTAAAAAAGAAATTTCTAGGTTAAAGACCAATTGCCCAACGTGGGAAATATTATGTCCGATAACCTATGGACACTTCCAATTCACCAACTGTTTTGATATATTATCCACTTTGAAATTTAAAAAAATGAAACTTGGAAAATGACACCTACTGCTATGTCCGGCAAACCCAGACGGACTACTTCCACAATTGGAAATTTGATGTAACTATGACTTTTTGGGGTACTTTCTATATTGCCATAATTGTAGGTCAATCGATACCAGAGAGAGAAAGAGGGAGCGGGATAGACAGAGGGGAAGGAAGTCAGAAACAGTATGACGTTTAAAGATGGACATATATAAAGAGAGAGAGAGAGAGAGAATGAGAGAGAGAGAGAGAGAGAGAGGGAGAGAGAGAGAGAAAGAAAGAGAGAGACAGATGGAGAGCTAGAGAGAAAAAATACTCTAGTTATGATATTAAGTGAGATATTAAAAAAGATATAGAAAGAAGGGAAACAGTAAAAAAACAAAAAAACAAAAAAAAAAAAAACAGTAAAATACAGACAGAATTACAATGACTAAAAGACAAATACACATGTATGAACGATCACAAAGTCTTTCGAGAAATCAACACAAGGCCATTTCAAGATAAACCCCATATAAATCATATTCAAATTACTATAACGTCACCAAGGACGTTCGCACATTTCAGGATGGACAAGGCTATCTAAATTTCATATGGTTGATTTCTTGAAGGTCTTTTCGATCTTGTTTTTTTAAACATGATTCCTTACGTTCCATCCTCTTTGGGGATTATGAAGCCATTGCTGGATGGTGAGACCGTCTCTCCTCCCCATAGGAACGCATCTATTCATGAGCATAAGAAGAGATGGAGAACACAAAAATGAGGCATAGAATTAATATTAAAGTGTTGTTATCATCATTGTCATCAAGGAGAAGATATAACAAAGAAGTAGTAGTAGTAGTAGTAGTAGTAGTAGTAGTAGTAGTAGTAGTAGTAGTAATAATAATAATAGTATTAGTAGCAATAATAATAGTAGTAGCAGTAGTCAGTGGCGTACGCAGGATTTTTTCAAGGGGGGGGGTTAAAATCGGGCCCATAATTTCGCAACGACTCAGCCAGCCGCTAAATAAGCGGGGGGGGGGGGGTTAGCGGACTTTTTTTTTTTTTTTTGGTCTCGAAATTTGAAAAATTGACATTTTTTTTCCGTTGGGGGGGGGGGGGGGTAAGGTCACCTTTTTTTAGGTCAGCCATTGGCATAATTTTTTTTTTTTTTTTTTTTTTTAATCCAAAGGGGGGATTCCCTAAAAACATACACATAAAAAAAACTCAAGAAGGGTTTAACCCCAACCCCCCCCCCCCCCACCCTGCGTACGCGCCTGGCAGTAGTAGTAGTAGCAGCAGCAGCAGTATTAGTTGCAGGAGTACTATAGCAGTAATATTAGTAATAGATCAACATAATAGTTCCTAGCCGCCATGGTATTGTTTTCATTGCAACAACGCCATTTCTTCTCCAAACTATTAGTTAAAGCCATTGTCCTTATCAGGGGCGGCGATTTCTTTTCATGGCCAGGGGATGAAATGCGAGGAACGAGGAAGCACAATGAACGAGAGGGGCGAAGGTGACTGAAGTGACTACCCCCCCCCCCCCCCCCCCAAAAAAAAAAAAAAAAAAAAAAAATGTTTTTGATTGTTGTTGTTGTATTAACAAATGACATTCCTTAGCAAAACTATGGTATAAAATCAAACAATATACTTTTTCACACTTCACTTTTACTTTGCCGGTAATTAGTGTGCAGTCCGAAGGGTTGTAAATTATTTATTAGGTAAATTATAATAAGGAGGAAGCTTGGGCATGGATGGGATTTCTATTTCCCACTCTAGGCCTTTGTCATGTACATGTAAATTGATATGGGAGCTGAAATGGCAAATATACAGAATATGTGGTAATGAACTATCAAAACCAACCAATATTATACAAATATACAATGACAATCGAGGATCTACCTGAAAGTATTCGCATAGGAGGACATCAACAAGTACTATTTGATGTTCCTGAGTGCAAATAGTTTTAGCTTGTTCCGAGAATGAGTCATTTTATATTTGTTTTATATCCCTTCCATCTGTACCATTCCTTGTACATCCTGTAATAACATGAACCTTATACTCACATTCACATCTTACATTTAGATCGAAAGGAAATTTAAAAAATATGATTGTCATCAAAACCATCATTAATATCATCTTTATCATTTTCACCATCACCATCATCATAGCCATCATCAATATCAATGATCATCATCATCACCATCACCATCACCATCATCATAGCCATCACCATCATCACCACCACCACCTTCATCATCATCATCTTCATAGCTATCATTAATCACCTGGTGCAGTTCCGTCGTAGGAAAATCCGATGATTCTTAACGTCCGATCGTCCTCTGCATAAACCGTCCCCTGCACACTGTGTGCGGTGGACCCAAATGTCCCCACAAGTTTACCGTGATACGAGGTCAGGTCCGTTGGTTGAGCATCGGCGGGGAAAGCCACTGAGGATGAAGAAGAAAAAAAAGGCGAATACAATTTTAAAGAAAATCGACCACTTTCATTCACAATATATCAATGCATATTTATTTAATATACATAATAAATTGATCAATTGATATATATAAATATTCATTAAAATCATATATCTGACGTCAATTTTAAAAAGTCAACCATAACGAGGAGCAAACGCGGTGCCGATTGTCTCGCGAGAGAGACAATTCAAATGTACGAGAAGAAGTGCAAAAAGCTCTTGAGGCAAGTGAAGTCATTGACATGCTTGTAAGAACATTTAAAGCTCTTCTCATTGGGGTACTAATCACCATTATCACTCAGAAAATCGGTGGAAACTTAAGAGAGACTTTTGAGTTTGAGTTGACGACAAGAGATGAGAGGATTAAAAAAGATTGGAAAAGGAAATTGAGCAAATGAGAGAGCATCAAGATAAAGCAGAACCATATTCGAGGAGGAATTGCCTTGTTTATTACCAGTGGCGTAGACAGGTTCGTACACCTGGGGGGGATGACTGGGCTGCCAACGCTAGTGAGGGCCCGAAGCGCCCGAGCGATTGAGCGAAGCGACCGAGCGGGGGGAGGGTGTGGGAGGGGGTGTCCCCCCTCCCACGGTAGGGAGCTTTTGCAATTTTGAACTTGAAATCGTGCAATCTGATGCATACTTAATGAGGTAAAATAACACACACAAGCGTGCACGCACACACACACACACACACACATACTACGCCTTGAATGGACAGACATGCATACATCGACAAGATCTACACACCGTGGCATACGAATACAGAATGGACTGACACATAGTATTGCATATTGAACCACACTACGTATTTATTTATCTCTCTGCATTTTGCTGTTACACCTCTTCAGAAAAAAACCCAATGTCAACTGTGTACACGCAGGTATAGTCTTTGTTGTCTTGATAGGGGTATGTGGTTATGAATGAAAACAGTCTCTGTGGCCATTTGTGAATAGAACACATAAACAACAAACAAATAACGATTAAACTTTGAACAATATGTCTGTTCATTATAAAGCATAATGAATACGTACATATTATGCTTTTTTTTTTTTACCTCAAAGAAACAGGCATAGTATCCATAGATGGATATTGGCTGGCGGCTCATTAACATACAGATACAAAAAACATAAACAGTATTACTATGATCCATGGAGTAACAATACTGCTTTGTAAGTTTGTGAAGAAATCGGAACCATAACGGCATTGCATCGTTTCAAATTAGGGCATTATTTACTTCTATTTGATCTCAGTCTTATAATAGTAATAGTAATAGTAATAATAATAATAATAATAATAATAACAATAATAATAATAATAATAATAATAATAATAATACAAATAAAAAATAATACTAATACAAATAATAATGCTAATACTAATAGGTTCATTTTATCTCGCATTTCAAGACAGGGTAAATTCACACTGCGCTTTACATGAAACAAACTTCTTTAAACATTTCAAACTTATGTCTTCATGCATCAATCAACATACTTTAAATGAATACAAAACAAAGTGCATCTTAAATAAAACAAAAATAAATAAATAGTTAACAATACAGAAAAGATGTAGCTGCTGTAAGCTTAACAACAAACTAATGTATACCAGTCAGTCCTGATATCAGTATTAGTGTAACAATAGCCCGGCCCCCCCCCCCCCACTCAGTGTTATTTAGAGTACGCATATGCTCGTACCCTCTTTTTGAAAGCGCCCCCTATCTGAGGACTGCCATCATTTCCGAACCCCCCTTTCGCGGGCTTTTCGCGGGCTTTTCCTGCCTTGGAGACCCCCCTAAATCAGGAAAAATACTCAATGTACCCCCCTAAATTCGGAATAATTTCTCAGGAGTCCAAAGAGATGAGAGAAAAAAAGAAAAATACCCCCTTTTTAAAGAAATCTCCGGGTAAAAAGTCAAATACACCCCTTTTTTTACAATTCTCGGGCCGGACTTTGTTGCACGAAAAGTACCCCTTTACCGGACATTTTGGCAACACGCATGCGGTCATTCCGACCTCTGAGTGGGGGGGGGGGGGCCGGGAACAATAGTCATATAGTGGGAGCATGAAGTTGAACAATTCATGATTATACATAATTATATATGTTTGTTTGAATAATACTTGTTATAAAGATAGTAGTATGGTACTCTCTGTCACGAATTATTATGTATACTGTTGTATCACATTCATTTTCTATTCTGTTTTAGAATTGGCTTTCACAGTGTGAATGCGGCTAACAATAAACACAATTACAATAATGATGAGGATTATTATTATCATCATCATAATTATTATTATTATTAATATTATAATTGTTATCATTATTATTATTACTATTATTATCATCATTATGACTTATTAAGTAAGCAAATATCATTCCCCAAAACCTGGGGGGGGGGATGATTGTACATGCCATCCCCCCCACCTTGTGAGGTGGGGGGATGCATCCCCCTCATCCCCCCCGTTGTCTACGCCCCTGTTTATTACGATCCTAGTGAGATTGAAGATGAAAATACAAATGAAAATGTGAAAGGAGTCTGTGAGAAGAAACTTAGAATAAATCTACAAAATGGCGACATCGACAGGACGCATCGTCTCGGCGAAAAAATGCCGGAGAAAGTGTGTTTCTATTAGGAAAACTTTTTCCCTTACCGGCCATTAACCGGATAATGGCGGATAATGGCTTTAGATAGAAACACGCCGTATGCTATCATTGTTATTGTTATACTTATTTTTCTCATAACTATCAATATTATTATTATAAGTAGTAGTAGTATTATCATTATCATTTTGTATCATAATTTTCCTCAATCACCTCCTAATCATCACCAGTAGTACTAAAAGTATTAATAGTAGAAGTAGTAGTAGTAGCAGTAGTGTTAATAGCAGTGGTAGAAGTAGTAGTAGTAGTAGTAGTAGTAGTAGTAGCAGCAGACGTAGTAGTGGTAGTATTAGTAGTAGTAGTAGTAGTAGTAGTAGAAGTAGGATACATTGACACTGTATAGCGTGTTATAAGCATGTATGTTTTATATCACATTTTGTCTACAACACTTTATTTGTTTATGAATCATACTGCACGCAGTATCATATTTTATATTTGCTATTATTTCCAGAGTGACAAATCGTTCTTGTTGATAGAAAACCCGTTCAATCCCATTCCTTCATATTCGTTCTACATAATATCGGTTGTCTACACAGCATCACATAAAGCAAGCAACGCATCGCAAAAACTGGGATATCAATTATGATATTCACACGCCATACTTACAATGCAGCAGTAAGGCCAACAATAGAATCGTCATTTTGGAGACTGACATCGTTGAAGCTGGAAATGGCGGGTTCCTAAAATTCGACCGCTACCACTTTGCGTGACAGTTACTCCAGTTACTACACACATAAATTGAAAGCGTACCGTTTGAGGTTGGTTGCGAATAAACTGGTACTGACTCGGCATGAATTACATATACATTGATAGAATGACTCGGTGAAAAGCTGCAGTTTTAGTGAATAGCGATAGAATGTAAACGGGCGCGCCCGTATCAACCGGATACTGGTACACGCTGACCATAATAACTCTTTAGTATTTGTGCATTTGTGCATCGAGCCAAAGCGATATAGAGAGTAGGGAGAAAGAGAGAGAGAGCGAGAGAGAGAGAGAGAGAGAGAGATAGGTGTGAGGGAGAGAGAGAGGAAGATAATGGGTGAGACGTGGGGTAAAGAAAGAGATTCTGAGAGAAATAGAGAAAGGAAAGATAGAGAGAAGGGAAGAAGAATTCAGTGGTTAGAAAGAGAGACAGACAGACAGACGGTGAAATTAAAATTTGGAAACTGAAACTGAAGAAATAGACAGGAATGAGAGAAAGGGGAAGAGAGAAAGAGAGGGGAGAGAAAGAGAGAGAGAGAGAGAGAGAGAGGAAAGAGAGAGAGAGAGAGAGAGAGAGAGGAAAGACAGACATTCGGGGAGACAGAGACAGAGAAAGAGAAAAATAACTGTCTCAAATCTGAAATAAATACAGTGTAGAAAGATGCGATCGTATCATGACAAACAAAATATCAAATACACCAAGGCCGTCTCGTTTGTTGATTTAACTCGACCCTACACAAGGTCATCAACAAAAAATAAACAAAACTATTCAAAACAAACAAATTTCGTAATTATTCATTATTTTCGCCATAAAATGCCAGTCATCTGCGGCGGAAGATTAATATCACCGGAACATAAAACCGTCATACAAAACCATAGCTTGTAACCGTGCAGGCGCCATTTTGTCCATTTCTGATCCGTTTTAAGACCTTTCTTTCTTCCTACCTATCTCCACTATCCTAGATCCTTCAAACTTCTAACAAATTCCTCTAGAGAGTCTAAGAGATGTTGTTCATCTGCAACGTATAGCTTTACCTTCAAAATACTACCTCCGTACTCGAAATTCAAATCCGAAACCGACTCTAAAATTCTTGATAAATTGACCCCTCAAAAATCTAAAATCGCCATAACTTTTTTTATACCAATTTAGTTTCGTCTCAATTTATCACAGTATCTTTATCCCATAATTGCACAAAGCCATGCCAACCATAATTTCAATCAATACAGCCCCATTGTATGCATTGTTTGTTTTTTCTTTATACCATCTATCAATTAGTGTGCGACCGATTGTCTATGATCTAGTTTTATGTATTGGTTTTTGTTGTGTTGTTGTAGTGTACATGTATTTCTGTTTTAGTTTCTACAGAGAGGCACACTTCAGTTCTCTGAAAATCCACACGTTAGTCAGGCCTGAAAATCTGAATACAGAGAAAAATCCTGTACAGGGGGGGGGGGGGGTTCTTTACTTTAAATGAAATATATATATATATATATATATATATATATATATATATATATATATATATATATTGTTCTTTTTTCCGAACATATGCTGTGTTCAATCGAAAAGATTGTTTGTCCGAAGTTACATTACTAAGGAAAACGTCTCGATATTCCGAAGGTTCGGAGTCTCGGAAAAATATAAAAGGTTTCATAAATCTAAGAATTATGTAGAATTTCCCAACGATTTTGTTTTTCTTAATTATTTTATTACATATCCTACTTAATTATCGGACTTACGAGCGTCAACAAATTAAACTATTGGGGAATAAAAACGATCCAATACCCGTTCTCAAAGACCGGCGTGATTACGTGGAATGAAAAGTGGCCTGATAAACGAAATTAGCATACATTGTGAGATATCAGAGGGCACAGCCGGCCAGTGCACCCCCTTAAAACCCAAGTGGAAAACCGTTGATTAGTTTCTTTTTTTCTTTCTTTTTTTGCTTCTAAATTTTGTTTTAATAAAACGGCATTCCAATATTAGTGATTATCTGTCTTGCCTGAATGATGACTTTGCATTGGGAGAACTTTTCAGTAGGTCTATGACCGTGAACTATGAAAGGCAAAACTATAACAACAAAAAAGAGCTAAACTATGGATCTCTCAAAACAGTTCTACCCAACAAAAGAAATCAGGTCATGGCTATTAATGAAAATAAATAATACATGTCAACAATCTTAAGTTCTACCAAACTTGGTTGTCAGAAGAATGACCTTGCATTTTTCTTTTTTAGGAGGTTCATGGCCGTGAACTATGAAGGGCAAGACTAAAATAAACAGCTCAACAATGAATCTCTCAAGACAGTTCTACTAAACAAAAGAATTTAGGTCATTGCTATTATGGAAAGGAATAATACATGTCTGCAATCTTCAGTTCTACCAAACTTGCTTGTCAGAAGAATGACTTTGCATTTTGAGCTTTTTTAGGAGGTCTAAGACCGTGAACTATGTATGGAAAACCTCAGATTAACAGCGCAACAATGGATCTCTCAAAACAGTTCTACCAAACAAAAGAAACCAGATCATGGCTATAATGGAAAGGAATAAGACATGTCTGCAATCTTAAGTTCTACCAAACTTGGTTGTCAGAAGAATGACCTTGCATTTTTCTTTTTTAGGAGATCTATGGCCGTGAACTATGAAGGGCAAGACTAAAATAAACAGGTTAACAATGAATCTCTCAAGACAGTTCTACTAAACAAAAGAATTTAGGTCATTGCTATTATGGAAAGGAATAATACATGTCTGCAATCTTCAGTTCTACCAAACTTGCTTGTCAGAAGAATGACTTTGCATTTGGAGCTTTTTTTAGGAGGTCTATGGCCGTGAACTATAGGGTCTCTCGAAACAGTTCTACCAAACAAAAGAAATCAGGTCATGACTATTAATGAAAAGAAATAATACATATCTACATCCTTCAGATCTATTTGAAAATAAACCGTACACAAATGGAGGCTATCAAGAGACGAATAATGAAATTATTGATTTTGCCATTTGTCTTTATCCATCGTGATCTCCGTACTACGCGTGCGCAAATTACTATGCCACAATACCCTTTGTCTTTCATTCTAGAATGAATCATGATTATGACGAGTTACTGTTGGATCCAGGCAAAGGACATGCCTGCTCCCCAGGCCAAGCCCTGGTACACCTTCATTAGTACATAAACGAAAAAGAAAAATGTGCACAAATTTGTGATTGCATGCACCCATACTTACCCCGAAGAACATGAAGATTAAAAACGCACCTGTGAAGGTCAGAGCTCGTCTTTGTTATCTCTCTTTTGTTTTAAAATATGTCCTATTACCACTTCTATTATCCTGTTTTTTAGGGGGGCAGAGACTGTTGTGGATTACAGTCTACAATTTGTAGAGCTTTTCAGTAGTCCCCCCCCCCCCGCCAAAAAAAAAGAAAGAAAGAAAATCCGTCCACTAAATTCTGGACTTTATACGGAGAATGGTGATTGCAAGCAGAATCTGAAAAGTTGTAGAAACCACGGTATAAGAGGTCTATATTTGTAAAATTATCTGCATCCATCACAGCGAGTTAAAGGTAATACAAAGTTTTGGGAAATTTTGAAAACTGGGTGAATATATAGTGATTCTTTGGATGCCCCTGTGGATGAATTATAAACACTAGAAAATTTAGCCCCTAAAACACTTTTGCTTTCGAAAAAAATTAAATATACAAATTTACCGGTGTTCCCGGTAAATTTTTATAGCCGTTTTATAGCTGCGACCATGAAAATCTCAGAATATGTAGTTGTGATATTATAATTTCCGAATGGAAATAGCTTATCGGTCGATTTTAGTCAAGAAACATTTTTGTATAGCTTAATTGATATCTTGACCTTGAGAGGGGGCTATAAAACATAAAGAGTTCTTATTTTCAATTTCATAACTTTAGACTCGATTTCAACCGCGACGACGATCACTGAATATTGTCGGATCGTATATGCTTCCAATATTTTAATTTGAACCAAATTCATGACCCCATACCAAAAATTTGTATTACCTTTAAGGTAAAACTATGTGATTTATGAAAGGCTGCCCTCTGTTGATCCTGGTGTGTGTGAGTAGGCATATTGGGTTATACCCACAAAACAGTTCTGTGATGCTACCATGTGTGGGTGCGTTGGGTGTGTCTATGTCTGTAATTTAATTATTTTTAAAATCATCCGCGTATAAATCATATCTAGTTGATATAGTATGAAAAACGTACATCTAATATCTTCAAATATGATGTATTAATGTTCATAAGTATAGGTGATACTTGATTCCCTTGATTTCTCTTTATTTTTCAATTTTCTTCAACGTTGACCATTTGTTGGAGGGGAACAAATTGCATTTATCAGATTTCTACCAAATAGAATGGATCAGTATTTTGTGATACCGAAATAAAATGGTAAAAATCAATGTTCAAGTTTAACAAACAATGATTAGTGCACCTTGACAAATGTACCCGACATAATTTGAGTTGTTTACCGAATCCAATGCCATAATTTTCTATTGATGCTCATGATTGTCTACGTTGCACGTCATTCATGTACGTCATTTTCGATGTGTACGTTCACCAGTGGACAGCGACGTATGCAGTCATTTTTTTTAAGCAGTGCGCATGCAACCCTGCTTCAAAAATGACCACAGATGTAGCAGTCCACTAATGAACGAGCAAATCGAAAAGTCCCTAATGAGTCTTTCATTATCTGTAAACAGCTCGGGTAATGAGTCTCCCTATGCCCCCTCCTTTTCTCCCATTTCTCTATCTCTCTCTCTCTCTCTCTCCCTCTTTCTCTCTATATCGCGCTCTCTCTCTCTCTATCTCTCTCTCTCTCTCTTCCTACCAACATCCTTACCTACATACCCAGTGCATGGCGTTGATACAGGGGAGCACATAGGAACACGTGTCCCCAATCGAATGACGAAGAACTAAAGGAAAATATGGGAATAGATACAAATTAAGAAAAGAGAGAAAATGAAAAAGTGAAACTGGAAAAGGATTAGGAAATAAGACAAAATGATCCCTCCCACACCCTCCTCCTTACATCGACCTTGTAAATTAGAGAATCATTTCGATTGAGCCCAGCCCCCCCCCCCCCTCCTTCCTGATGTCTGTGTCCCTTCATTGCCGGACTCATGCTAAGCCAGTATACCTGCGTACCTCCACACCTACCGACCGACCTACCTATTTCTGTATCTCTATTCTAATCTTCACATATCTTTCGTGTCATCTCCCATGCATATTTCAAACAACCTGCCATTCCTCATCATGTTTTTGAACCCACTAAAAACGATATTGTCAAAATGTATCAATATTCCAAACAATAATTTTGCGTTTGTCATTGTATAAATTTAATTTGCCTATCTGGTAATTACACCGTTGTGTGTGTTTATTTCTCGAGATTGTTATTTAACAAAGATCAACTATAGAGTGGTGAGGTGTGCCGTCATCAAAATATATTTTAGGAATGTCTCAACTTTTTCTTCACTTTGAGAGACAGCATCACAAATAATAACCAAATGTCAAAAACCAATTTAATATATGTTACGTTGCCGAGATAAGACCATCTGAATAAAAAAAAAATCCTATAGGAACTCAGTGTTATATTGCTCTGGTTCATAGCGTTACGAGCTATAGCAACAAAACACTGAGTTCCTATGGGAAATCTATTTATTCAGATGGTCATATCTCAGCCAATACTTAACATATTAAATTGGTTTTCGACATTTGGACATTATTTTGTATGCTCTTTTGGAAAATGACGAAAAAATTGGGAAATTCCAAAAATAGATTGTTATGATGTCACAGCTTCCGTACTATACACAACAGATTAAATGAGATGATGTACATCATTTACATGTTCAAGCTAGAAATTGTGTGTGCACAATTTCCACTTTGTTTTCATTCATCAATTACGAAAGGAAATCATTAAGCCTTTAAGCCTTACTGTCTACATTTACGTACATCAGGAAAGGAAGAACATTAATATCAGTTTGTCATGTTTTTGCACAAAAAATTTTATTCTCAAAACGAAAAATCAAAAAATATCCAAACATTTAGCTCTTTATCTCATTTATTCAGCCAAACTTCCAAAATATTGTAGCAAATAAATATGACAACACAATGCATTTGGTTTTTGGAACGTTTTTTTTTTCTTCTAGCAGAATACTAATACGAGTTATCTTACAACACTCTAAATGACGAATTGTGGAATAACATGTGAGTTTTAACCAGAGGATTTTAACTTTTGATTTAACATATTTGAAAGTGGCAACATATTTGAAGCGTTGACTCCAATTTCATCTAATTACTTAGAATTAAAGAAATATTACCTAAGACGCACATAGATCTCAGAATACAAATATCAGAGAATATAGTAGAAATAAATTACTTGTGGTACCATTAAAAAAACCTAAAACGTACAAAAAACGGTGAGTGAAAAAGCTGCCACAAAAATAAAAAGTGTCGATTCTTTTAATACGCCCTTCTTTTGTCCTCGGTTGTTACGTCAATACACATGAAAACAAAGCATAGAAGGTAAGTCCATATCATTATTTAACACGCACACAAAAATATGTCGATTATCACGCCCTACATTTGTCCTCGACTGTTTTATAAATACACATTAAACAAAGAAAACAAAGCAAGAAGCCAGTATGATCTTTCAACAAACTTCTTTCTTTAGCACACAATAATTACAAGTGTTGATTATTAGTATTACGCCCTTCTTTTGTCCTCGACTGTTTCGTAAATGCACATAAAAATAAAGAAAAGTAAGATGAATCCGTTTGATCTCTTAACACATACATGTAAAAATTGTCGATTACTAGTATTACGTCCTTCTTTTGTCCTCGACTGTTTCATAAATACACATAAAACATAGAAAACAAAACAAGAAGCCCATATGATCTTTCAACAAACTTCTTTTTTTTTTTAGCACATATATTACAAGTGTTGAATATTACGCCCTTCTTTTGTCCTCGACTGTTTCTTAAATACACTTAAAACATAGAAAATAAAACAAGAAGCCCATATGATCTTTCAACAAACTCCTTTTTTTAGCCGATACGTATTACAAGTGTTGATGATTAGGCCTCCTTCGTCCTCGGCTGTTTTTATAAACACACTTAAAAACATAGAAAACAAAACAAGAAGCCCATATAATCTGTCATCAAACTTCTTTTTTTAGCACACACTTATTACAAGTCTGGATTATTACGCCCTTCTTGTGTCCTCGACTGTTTCGTAAATGCACATAAAAACAAAGAAAAGTAAGGTGAACCCGTATGATCTTTTAACACATACATGTAAAAATTGTCGATTATTACGCCCTTCTTTTGCCCTCAAGTGTTTTTTAAACATATTTAAAAACATAGAAAACACAACATGAAGCCCATATGATCTTTTAACAAACTTTTTTTGTTAGCACACGTATTACAAGTAATGATTATTAGGCCTATGTTGTCCTCGACTGTTTTGTAAATAGACTTAAAAACATAAAAAACAAAATAAGAGGCCCATTTAATCTGTCAACAAACTTCTTTTTAGCATACGTATTACAAGTGTTGATTATGAGGCCTCTTTTGTCCTCGATTGTCTTATAAACACACTTAAAAACATAGAAAACAAAACAAGAAGCTTATATGATCTTTCAACAAACTTCTTTTTTTAGCACACGTATTACAAGTATTGATTATTACGCCCTTCCTTTGTCCTCAACTGTTTCGTAAATGCACATGAAAACAAAGAAAAGTAAGATAATACATGTTAGGTGTTAACACATACATACAAATTGTCGATAACGCTTTTTTTTTCCCTCGACTGTTTTCATCCAAACTATTCCACACGATCTTCAAACATACCTCATTTTTAAGACATAAAAAAGCGTCGATTTTTACGAACTCCTTTGTTTAAAGGTAATACACAGTTTTGGTATGGGGGTCATGAATTTGGTTTAAATGAACATATTGGAAGCATATGCAATCCGACAATATTCACTGATCGTTATCGCAGTTGAAATCGAGTCCAAAGTTATGAAATTGTAAATAATACACTCGTTATGTTGTATAGCTCCCTCTCAAGGTCAATATGTTAATTAGGTTATACAACGATGTTTCTTGACTAAAATTGACCGATTAGCTATTTCCGTTTGGAAATTATATATCACGTCTACTTATTCTGAGATTTTCATGGTCGCAGCTACCATTGTACGGCAGTAGGCGCTAATTAAAATTTATCAAAATTTACCGGGAGCTCCGGTCAATTTTTATATTCAATATTTCTCGAAAGCAGAAGTGTTTCAGGGGCTTCAGGGGCTTCTAGTGCTTATAATGCATCTTCAGGGGCATCTAAATATATCAAAATTGTAAAGAATCACTATCCACCCAGTTTTCAAAATTTCCAAAACTTTGTATTACCTTTAAAGAGTGTTCCTTAAACACATATATACACCAAGCAAATCAAAAGGCCAGTATGATCTTTAAACACATATAAAAACAAAGTTTTGATTATTACACCCTTCCTCTGTCATCGTGTGTTTCTTAAACTTTGCATACAACTAGCATTGATGATAACTTTGCTTAATTGGCTGTTGAGTGATCCTCAAAAAATTATCCAGATCTCATTCATCTTGTGACATCATCTGTCAATCATTAGTGAGCTAACAAGAGACCGTTGTATGTAGCTTCACCAGAGCTGATCACCTGTTTACAATAGACCATACAGTACCTAATACGGGTTGCTATGTCAGACGTGCTTTAGCATCACCAGGAAAAGAAAGGTTATGTGGAGGTATTGTGCAATTCTTTTGTGAGCATGTGCTGAGCAGGTGAAAGTAAAATACCCCTGTCTCTTGTTAGCTCACTAATGATTGACGGATGATGTCACAAGATGAATGAGATCCAGAGCATTTTAGGGTGGAGTTTTATAACAGCAGGTCTAAGGAAATTATTTTAAAGATATTTTAAAATCTATGAAATTTATTTAAATTTTTAAATAATGAAATATGAGTTGTATGCAGCCCTGCACATCAACAGAAATCAACTTATATTCGAATGTCACCCGACTCTAAGTCTTATTTGCTTGAAGCATTGTGTAATTATCTATATCTATAACACAGTAATTGTCGTTCGACATTGCGTGAATAGATCAGCTTGTAAGGCTTCACACACATCGATGGTTTCACGCATAATCGTGTCAGTTTTTTAATGACATCTCTAAATCTTCAATCGAAATTTACATTTTTAGTCAACTAAATCAACAAGGCAATTAGAAATATCAATACTTTTTTGATTCACTTGTGATGATATTTAACTTCACATTGGTCTTTCAGTGAGTGTATTCACGTATGACACTAATTTATGGGCTGAGTATTGGATTACAGATACCGTGTACAACTTTATATTCCTTGATGAACTTTCAAATCATTTCCTAAAAATCATGATAAATTTATATTACAATAGTGAATATTCCTTTCATTTGACTTTTTCTCTTCTCTCTTCTCTCTCTCTCTCTCTCTCTCCCCCCCCCCCCCTCTCGCTCTCTCTCTCTCTCTCTTTCTCCGAGTGCCTGTGAATTGTTCTACCTTTCTTTTTTCTGTATTGCTTTGTACATGTACCATGTAAACCATTCCTTTATAGTGAAACGTATGGAAATTCCATTCATTAAAACAAAATTTAAAAAAATAGGAACAAATCCAAGCTTAAAACAATACAAAGGATGAGCATCGGGTTAACAATGACATTATCATTTATTAATATGTCCGTATATGAGTGTCAGCAAATTTCCAAAATTAGCATTTATCTGCAATTACAACTACAACATATCGTTGTGATGAACGGATCTTAAATACTCAAGTGACACTTGACATAAACATAAACATCAAACGTTTCACTATAGGTAGCCTACACCCCATTGACATATATAAAAATTGCGTACTTTACGTGTAAATAACATTTGATATCAGATTACCCCAAAATCGTCCATGGAAAATGTGTTACCTTCCAAAACAAAAAGTTATCAGATTTACATTGAAGAATTAAAGTAATTGAAGTAGGAAGGTCATTATATTATGTGACAGAGCTTAAATGCCATGGAGAGACTTGACAATATCAAACCTCTGCCAGTCCTACAGACGATGTTGAAACTTGGTCTATCACACGATCTTTCGCTTTCCTCACGGCTTTCATCAAAATCCTCCTGAATTCTCGGTTTAGAAGAGAATAAATAAACACATTGAACCACGTGCTGCACAACGTCAACCGCGCGGTAACGGTCAGAGTGAATTTCGACACCGGTCGACCGCTAACCGCGGTAATTACCTCGCAGATTGAATATGGCACCCATGAGATGATGAAGAGTCCGGCGGTGACGCAAGAGACCGCGGTTGACCGAATTAACGCCGCGCCTTCCATGGCTCGATGCGGTTGACCGATGACCTGGTTTTGAATACCAATCTGCCTGACGTGTTTTCGCACGGTGCATGTCATTTTGACATAAACGAAGACAATGATGGCGGCCGAGCACAAGATGAAAAGCATTGCGGCGATAGTATAAGGAGCAAAGTAAGGTTCTGAATAGTCCACCATGCACACTCCGTATTCCCTGAATCGAATAATGTTCCACGAATCGCCAGCCGTTTGGTAGAGAACAATCTGAAAAAGACAGAAGAAAACGCTTGCCGCTACGACAGTGATGATGGTCAATGACCGCGTTGCCCGCAACGGGTAAGAAAAGGGCTCGTATATGATGAAGAAACGATCAGCGGTTGTCAGAACGACAATGACTTCGATCATGCCGAACGAATAAACCAGAAGAAACCCGACCAGTTTACATGACCATTCGCTGTAGACCCATTGCCCGACGAAGGCGGGGTGGATGCTCGGCGCGTAGAGGCTTGCAACAACCAACTCAAAAGAGGAACGGCTGATGAACAGGACTCTGCTAGACGTCGATATCTCGTGGAGTTGGGGAATCACGACGATGTTGATGCAATTTCCAATGAAGCTCAGAATCACGGAAGCAACCATTAACCATTTCAGATCAACTTCAATGAAGGCGGTACCGTTAACTGCATTCGATTCTGACGTTGCTAGGAAGGGCAAAGTCGTCATGCCGAAGGAACGTCGCTAAAGTAACAAGAATACTGTTTTGCAGTCCCACTGCATAACTTACGGTCGTAAAAGTACAGATCCTAATTGCATGTTGCCTTTTTTTGTTAAACACTAGGCGAGATAAGTACATGTACCACTTGCGAATGGTCTAGTAGACATTGTGCGAACACGAAATATATAGTTTTTTTTAATTTAAAACCAGATAAAGGTACTATTCTCCTTACCGTGGGCAATTTTATGACTGTTCGGTTTTTGTTGTGTCAATAGACTAGTCGTCAATGATTTAAGGGCCATCTCCTCAACGTGCACAGTCACACCTCAAGAGATAAGATAGACAAACACCGCCTCGCAAAGATCAGTCTAGACTACTAAAAGAATCACGAAATGAGGTGTTTTCGACGAAATCAGCGGTTATTAAATCTTTCTCCGAGAACATACATACAATCGTTGCTGTCAATGAATCGCAGATATTTTAGAATTAAACCTTGACAACAAAAACTATTTTTACTGATAAATAAAATGAAGAGGAAAAAACGAACAAACAGAGGACAATTCTGCATGACGACCGGTTATTGTTAGATAGGAAACATGACTGACGACGAATGCGCAGGACACACGGAGCGCTCGACGAAAAAATATCGCTAGCTTGTTTCGTGCATAATTAAAGCGTGTTATAATTCACACAGTGCCTGTAATAAATTGGGGTCACAAGCTTACCTAATAGTGCGTTTCGTACTAGGGAGTGATGGTCGTGGGATCGGAGATGAAGAAAAATTGGGGGCGGACCTTTTTCCCTATTTCCTTCAAAGCAGATAGAAATCCACTATTCATTATGACGGTACATGTAGCTGTTTTGAAGACGCACTGTAGAGTATAATTTGAGAATCGTGGAAACGTTCAGTGAAACCTTACAAAATACGCGCACGAGAAATGATCCCCCCCCCCCCCTGTTACACACATGTAATAACGCCCACAAATGTAATAACACTTTACCCACAAATGTAATAACAACCACAAATGTAATAATTTCACCCACAAATGTAATAATTTTGAATCGCCCACAAATGTAATAATGACTTTACCCACAAATGTAATAATGACTTTACCCACAAATGTAATACATTTGAAGTGATATTTTGTCGAATTTGTTCAAAACTAAAACCCATGGGTATAACGCGCAGTCTTTACTCCAGACCCGGTTATTTCAAAAAATTAAAAAACTTCAAACTAAGACCCCATAATCCTTTTCCTGTGGAGCGTAGTCTTTCCTCCAGACACGGTTATTCAAAAGTAAAAAAAAAAAAAATTAAACTAAGACCCCACCATCTTCCAAACTAAGACCCGGTAATAAAGCATGGGTTTAGAGCGTAGTTTTTCTTCCAGACCCGGTTATTTCAAAACTTTTTAAAAATCTTCAAAACTAAGACCCCATCATCTTATTCCTGTGGAAGAACATGAGTATTGAGTTTCTAATCAGTGACCTTGTTAATTTGGATTCAGCGATCTCAGCGACCCCCCCCCCCCCCGTCGAGAGCCATAAGGATGTTAAGCAAGCATTACACCTAGCCCTAATAGCATAAGTATTTTAAAAAACGGTTCTGAATCATCGTACAAGCCTCGATATATTAGGTATAGTCTTCTCTCGACTGCAGGGGGCTTTTGTCCTAAAATACTTCGACGGACAGGTGCGTTTCGGGTACAAGCCAGGTGCCGGAGCACAAATAAAAAGGCACAATCTATGCCAGATTATATTCGAGAATGGGCCCCGTTCATTCGTTGAATTGAAGCAGGGGCGTCGCGCCCGAAGAGAATTATTTCGTTGAAGCATGCCGGAATGTTAAAGTTTTTAGAGCAGTTCGGTGGTTATTCATTTTGAAGTTTTTATTTATCATTGTTTCATTTCACTGAGCATCAATCGCTGATTTTTGCTTGTGTAATTGTTTTTTTTTTTTCTTATTTTGTATTGCATGCTTATTGGTTAGCAATCTGTCGGAAGCAAATTTTCTTCCCCACTTGTGGGTCCCTTTTAAAGGTAAAGACCAGTTATGGTCATGCGATTGCATTGTGAAAGAAACGTTGTGGAATCGATCAGAAAAGTTTGATCATCTAGCATCTAGCATCTAGCATCTGCAAGGTTCTGGAATCATCAAAATGATAAGAAATTTGGCCCATTCTTCGTAAAGTTACAAGCACTATACACAGAAAGATGTATATGGGACTACCCTATATCTCTCACAGACCATGACAGAAACAAATTTACCAAATATATGAATTAGTAGGTGGTTTCCCGGCCAATTTTTTATCATCATGTATTAGTCAAAACATATTCTTTCACATGATTGGTAATGAGAGCTTCCATTTCATTTTTTGAAATTGGGGCGTTTCCAATACTGGTCTTTACCTTTAATTACGCTAATGCCATACACCATTTTCATGTGAAAGACCTTTTCCCTGTATTTAGAGCTAAATATATGTGACGAGTTTGTTCGTTGAATGTAACCGCGGATAAAATCAGATTTATCTGCATTGTAAAAATATATGTGTCTCATTACTGATGGCAGTGCCGGTTTTTCATTAAAGGGCCTAATTATGAGCCGATCGGTGCTTATCTTACATTACATCTCACGGGGGCAAAATTGTATATTCTCCATGAATAAAACATAATAACATACAGGGTTTTACTTTCGAACACGCACGGATAAACAGAGAGCAGAGCTTAAACAACATTAACCATTTACACGGGGAAAAGTAAATGGGAACATATTTTTGAAATTCATAATTGTGGTGCAAAATACGATATGAATAAATAAAATATAATATAATTATAGAGAAAAAGGGATAGTTGAGTTCTTGTTTAAGACCTCAAATGCCTCCAAAGTGCATGATTATTGATCTCATTCTTATTTATGACATTTCTAGTGCCCCTTTTGGACCTAAAATTGCTTTGAATTTAATTTTAGACCCCAAAATATGTGAAATTTTAATTGAATCCGATCATGCCATTTCAGCCCAACTTTCAAGAAAATACGGTGACCGTTAATTTCGAATAATAATAACAATACATGGGCAAGTTGGTCGTGCGTATTATAACCAACACGAAAATGATATATGGCCTTATCTCGTTTTGTTATCGGCTGGTTCAAAATTATCGATTTTTTGTGGGGCCCACAAATATTAGAAATGGGTATATTCATGGATATTTCAGCCATATCTGAGCCGATTTTGATCAAACCAAGATAATTTTGTTATTCAAATTGTATGCTCTTTCAAATTTGACACTGAGTTTTTCATTAATTCACAACAAATTATGTTGTGTAGCGCCCACTTTACCAAACCACAACTATCAGTTATTTTATAATATCAAGTTGATCAAACGAGAGATAAGCGTCATTTTTCATATTTGCCGGTGGCAAGCTCCTGTCTTTCTCGCTCTTCCTTTCTTTTTCTTTCTCTCTCTTCTCTCTCTTTTTCTTTTTTTTTAATGTTTCTCTTTGCCTATCTCTCTCCCTTTCCCAACGCTCTTGTTAAACATATTGCAAAGGATTGTAAATCAATTAAGCATGGCGATTGGTACGCCCACGATCGGATTTCAAGCTTCTATGGTACCAATCGAAGTATCATTGTTTTACATTATGATATTTTCTCTCGTGTGAATATTTTGATATCATCATCGGGGCAGTTTCCGCATGCTAGTATTGTTCCTTAGAGTAATAATGGCAACCCAATTCAATATAGAGAAAAGACCCTTCTCCGTACTCTCTCCCTCTCACTCACGCGCACACACACCTACGCACACAAACACACACACACACGAGCGCCCACCCTTACACTCACACTTATCCACACGCACTTATCCACCCACACCCCCCAGGCGCATATAGTCTCTATCTTTCTTTCATGTTTCATTAAAATAAGCAAATTATACACACTTATTTACCTACACTCACACACATGAGCATATCAAAATTCTTCCACCTCTCTCTTTCGTTAATGTTCTTGAACCCTATAAAGGCCGGGCTATTTGAGGTCTTAGTACGGCCGGGGGGGGGGGGGGGGCATTATGGCCCCCCCCCCCATAAGATCTCGGCCGTGAAGCGGCTGATCTCCGCGAAAATTTGCACGGATGTCAAGTAAAGTGTATAGAATACTATGATAATTTCAATTTTTTGAAAAACTCGCTCATTATTACATTTATGGTAATTTATGCAAATAAGGTCATGACAATCACATTTTTACCCATAAATCATATATTATTCATATAAGTAATATATCCAAATTCCAGTTCTTTATAGAAACCGTTGCATGCACACGTAATATTCTTTAGACACACGTGTGCGCCCGCACGCTAAGACGCACGCTTACCCGCTCGAAACACATCGTATAATCATTCTCCCCCTCCCCCCCCCCCCCCCCCCCCTCTCTCTCTCTCTCTCTCTCTTTCCTTTTTTCTTTAAAATTAGTCAAATTATCCACACAGTACACATACACACACACACACGCACGCACACACACAAATCCACTTACAATCACAACCAGGCGCACTAACTCACCCCCCCCCACCCCCCCCCCCCCTCTCTCTCTCTCTCTCTCTCTCTCAAACATATTTTCATGAGAAAATATATCCGGATCAAAGATTAGTTTGGGAGAAAAAAAAGGATGAATTGCATGTTCTCTGCTTCTCTCTCCTGTCTCTTCAATTTCGCTTCACTGGCTTCACAAAATGACTTCTTTAAAAATGTATGTTGTTGATCAGCAATGGCGGCATCAAGTCCTGGCGCACACACCTCAAATAGCTGTCTGCATCGTATTGGGTGCGTTGAGACGTGTTCCCGGGGATTCCCCATTATTGCGCAATACCAACTGTGGACCAGATTCTGTCAGTTTTTATGTATTTGTTATTCTTCAACCATGGATGTCCTCCTCTTGTACGTGTCTCTATCTATAACCAAAAGTCCCCTTAAAGCTACCCATATTGAGTGTCATCTACAAGGCGTATAGCC